AGAGCAGTTATAATACTGTAAAGTTGATTTCAGAATTCACAGCATTTACAATCATTATAAGCATAAAGCTGAATTTTGCTGAAAATTAACAATTTTTACAAAACTTCTTCTCTTCTGTCATTCTGTTAAGGCTACTGGAAGCTAGTAGTAGACTTCTTTTGTTTGATAATGAAACAAATGATTTATATGCATTCGCCACGTAGAAGTCTTGTTAATGGATTTTGTACTTACATAGTTTATTTGGTCAGGGTGCTTAGTAAGCTAGTATACTCCAAAGACAAAGAGGTTGAGTAGGAAAAAATTGATTGATACCTCCCCCATCTAACTTTAGTGCACTTTGTTTTTTTAGTATGTGCTGTTGTTGTTACTTTTTACGGTCATAAATGAGTGATATTAAAACTCTTTTGGTCACCAAAGACTATTTATGTTGGTGATCTTTGAACTGTTTTATTCATGTTCTATGATGCGTGAGCGAAGCAAACAAAATTGCACTCCAACATATTTAGTCAGGATTTGAATAGTATTAGAACATTTTCTTCTCGGTTTTTTTCCTCTCTTCGTGAGAACACCAGACTGTGACAATATGGCTCTGTAGAAGATGTACCCTGTTCAACCTTTGGTGAATTTAGTTGAATTTTTAGTTCAATATGGCGGTCGGAAATTCGCAGTGGTTTGTGGGAACGTTTACATCAGCATTTTGAACTTGTTTGCTGTTTGATCCCAGTCCAGATATTTGTGATCAATGAAGTCACTGTACATGTAAGGCGTGGTGTGACCGTTTCTCAATAAATGGGTGTAGAAATCATCATCGTCACTGTGTCCTGAATAAAGCAAGGCTCGAAATGCATAGTATTGTGCGAATATCCACAAAGCTAGGTGCTACTGGCTCACTGTGACAAATATGTCCCAGTTGAGAGAACGTGTAGCCAGAGAATCTTGACTTAAGTGATTTAGACACAAAAATTAGAAACGCCGATATTCATTTTGGAGCAATTACAGCATATTTCACTCCAGCTTCATCCCCATACCAAAATGGAACCCCAGACCAACTTTCAGGTCATTTGGGTTTAATTACAGGGCTCCAGGGCCGAAAATGTACATCTCTTGTTTGGAAAAAAAAAAACGCTTCTAAAAAAAAGCCTGTATCGAAAATATGAAAAAAAAGCCAGAGGGTATTTTTCCCATACACTCTACCTCCATGTTGAATTTCAGGTCATTCAAATCCATTTAACAAATTGGCAGGAGCTGCAGCATATGGAAAAACTATACATTTCCCCCATACCATGTATAAAAGCTCGCTTTTGGATTACCAGCTGAGTCTACCATGTGGCATGTTGTGGCCTTGGGCGTATTGCGCTAGCTCGCATGAGTTGTTTTGGCAGGCATTGAAAATCACAACAAGTGGTCATATAAATATATACATACGTAAAATGAAATTAGTCTAAAGACGCAATGACATTTTGATGTATATGTTATTTTATTACTATTTACATAGGCTGCTTGCCTCTATTGCTCTCTGGAAAAAATCAGATGTAATAATATGATACATTCTGTTTTACATACATTTTTCTGAAATCTAGTATAACTTCCAAGTATTGACGATTACTAGAAAAGTAGACTAAATGCACAGCATTAAAACTGAGCCGGATACTTACATTGGGTTTGAGATTTTAGAACATCAAATGAATAAATGATTACATAAATACATGCACTAGTAGTTCTTCTTATCATTGTAATGTTGCTATATGTGAAAAGTTACAAAGTAGTCACACTAATCACATTTTTATGTTATGTGGACTCTCTGGTCTCTGATAGGACAAGCTGGTCTACCACTTCCCACACATGCACAGTATCATCAGGTTTCTCTTGTTTTACATATGATGCACTGTCACTGTCAGCCATCCTAAATCCCCCATCAAACGTTTCCTCACTCATGTAGGGTTCCTCCTTGGTGTGTATTGCTTGATGTCCGTCCTCTGCATCAGAAGTTTCCTCACACAAGTAGGGTTCCTCCTTGGTGTGTTTTGCTTGATGTCTGTCCAATTGGGATTTCCGTGCTACAGAATAATCACACTGATTACACTTGTACGGTTTTCCTGCATGGGTTCTTTTATGTCTGCTTAGGGCTTTCTTATAGCGTGTGCTGTAACCGCATTTCCCACACACGTAGGGTTTCTCATTACCTGTACGTTTTGTTTGATGTGTGTCCGATTGGGATTTCTGTGCTGCAGAATTATCTTGATTGGTTGAATCATGCCTTTCCTTGCACTTATGTTGGAATAAGATTTCCTCATAACTTGCCTCGTACCCACATTTCCCACACATGTAGAGTTTCTCCTTGGTCTGTTTTGGTGGTGTGCTTTGCTTGTGGCAATGGTCCAATTGTGATTTGCTTTGCTTCTGATGACTGTACATGTCCAACTGCGGTACAGGATAATCACAATATACCATTGGAATCTTCCACCTCTTTTTTCGTGGTGTTTGTGGTGCTTGTGGTGGTTTCTTGCAATTGTGTCGGCGTAGGATTTCCTCATAGCGTGTACTATACCCACATACTGAACACACTAAGGGTTCATCAACAATCTTGCATTTAGCTTGCATATGACTTGTCCCCTGTTCTACCTGTAATGTACTATCAGTTTTTCTCAGCTTCCCATGGAATGTCTCTTCAGAAATAATGAACTTGTCCCCATTGATGTGTTCTGCTTGATGTTCGTCCCAAAAGTTTTTCAGCATTGTAGAATAATCGCAATGATCAAACCTGTATTGTGGTTTCTTGCAGTAGTGTTTGCGTAGAACTTCTTCGTAGCGCGACCTGTACCCACATCCCCCACACACTAAATGTTCCTCTTTTTGTTTTTGTTGTTTGGGAATAGCTATAGTGATAGTGTCTATCTTCTTCTGCAAGTTCTGGCTCCTACTCAATCTTAATGTTTCCTCCTGTATGCGTTTCCTCTCAATGGCGTGGTTTGCTTGATGTCTGTTCAACTGACATTTCTCCGGTGTACAAAAATCACACTCATTACACTTGAATTTTTCTCCCGTATGGGTTCCCATATGTCTGACTAGGCCACCCTTACAGTGTGTCCTGTACCCACACTCCCCACACATGTAGGGTTTAGTGTGTTTTCTCTTGTGTTTTCTCAAGAGTTTTTTCCACTCTGCAGAATAATCACACTGATCACACTTGTATAATTTTTCTTCTGTCTGGGTTTTCCTGCAATTGTGTTGGCGTAGGATTTCTTCGCTGGGTGTCCTGAACCCACAATCCCCACACGCTAACGGTTCCTCCATTTTGACTTCAGGCATGTGACTTTCCATCTGTTCTACTTGTGATGACATGTCGAGCTACAGCTGCGATCACTATAATTTTTGAAAACACCCTCCTGGAGTTAACAGAACAAAATGTGAACAATGTCTTTGTTAGCGCATGGATGCGTTACAAAATATACTATTACTAGCCACCGTACTGCGAAACTGCCTGGAGATCGCTTCCACGCAGCGCTTACCTATGAAAGCAAGGTATAATTTACTATAAAGATATAACATCCCATATCACGTCGTGCATCAAAAAAATCCTCCCCCCCCCCCCCCATATCATGCACAAGGAAAACTGACCATTGGATTATGGTCGCCAATCTTCAAACACATACCTGTACTGGCTGTAGGCATTGCTACATATCGATTGCTACATATCTGGTACTCTTACCTTGTCTGTGTTGGCTAGAAATAAGTAGATATTTGCGTCCTTTGGGCTTGCAAGGTTCAAAATGGCGGACTCAAAATTCGAGTTCATGCGCTGGTCAAAGGTTAAAGTTCACGAACCTGATTACCCACATCATGTAAGCATGAATTGCAATCAAAAACGACGTGGTGACGGTTTAGCCTTCTTTGTTGTATTGTGTATGTCAAAAGTGCGTTAGTATATTCATACTGCGATTGGTGAATTTAATTAGAAAGTACATGTTCCATAATTTTTGCACAAACCTGTTTCACGAACTTGAAACGACAGTGAATCAATATATAGTGTCTTGTACGCATAGTCATATTTTCAATGAGAAATCACGATATTAATGTTTATTCATGTGTCAATATATTATTGCAGAGCAAAGAATGTCAAAAATTTTTACATACAGGTATAGGCCCTGAATACCTGAAATGTAAATTTCTTCAGACTTTAAAGTTCTCCAGACTTTAAACATGACTCCGAATCAGAGTCATGTTTAAAGTTTACATTGGTATGCACATGTATATTTCAGGCCTTGAAAAACATGAGCTCTTTCAAAAGACTATTGCACGAAGCGTAATATATGATATTTGTCACTGTATTACAGTATATCGTATTATATTATATTTTGTATTGTACATGAGGTCGTATTATACTACATTTGTTTATTGTACGTGAGATAATGGCACAAATATGTCGAATTACAATCACAAGAATATTTCTTTAAATACAATATTTCTACATAATGCCCCTTTAATTTTTTTTTCATTTAGAACTTATCTTTACATAATGCTCCTTTAAAAAGCACTTTAAAATCCTTATGTCAGCAGACACTAAAACACTGTAAAACAATACGTCTTACCTATTCTGACAGTAATTATATTCGCATTATCTTAGGATTATGCATTGTAGTAATCTTATATAACAGTTTTGTTTCAAATTCCTTAACACTTTTAATTAACAAAAAGGTCCGGCGTGTTTGAAGTTAAATCGAAAAATGTATCCTTTAGGATATTTTTTGTTTGTAATTAGCCACACGTTTCAACACTAAGAATTGTTCTCATCTAGAGCTTTGAATAAACTTACTCAGTGAGACTTGTCATGCGGTTTCTCTGAAGTGTGACGTCAAGGTCAAAGTTATCTGGTAAACGATGACGGCCCCCGTCGCGGTTGAGTGATGGTGATCAAGCTGATGGTATGTTCTTTATATCGGAATATCGTCCACGTTAATGGTCTCCCTTGGAATTGTTCTCCTTCTCGAGAGCGAAATAGAAGTTCCGTCCCCTGTTATACCCCTTTGCTTTGCTGATCTACTAGTATGACAGCATCTTAACAGAGCTTTCTTTGTGTAAGCATAGAAATTCTCTCCAAGAAGAGCATACAGGAACGGATTGACAGTCGAGTTTGCCGATGACAGTGCAGCGATCAAGAAATAGATACCTTCAGGCATTGCCTCTTGATTGAAAAAGTAAACAATGTTTCGGACATGAATTGGCAGCCAGGAAAGCATGAATATGAACACAACAACCGTCACCATCCTCGTCACGCGTACCTGAGACTGCATCGTCGCTGGACCAAGTCGCGGAAATTGTTCTTTCTCTCGTATCTTCTTGATAAGTAGAGTATACAAAGGTGCGATGATCACCAATGGTACGACGAACCATGCTAGGAAACGCCACATGTGTGTCACGATTTGAAATTTGGCATAATCCATCCCTTCAGGGGGGTCTAACTGGCAGGATACCCAAGTGGTATTACCAAAAATCCGTGATTCCTTAGTGGTAGACAGCACGGCAAATGGGAGACTAGGAAGAATTGCTGCCAACCAGAGGATTCCACTGACAAGCCATGTTTTCTTCAATGACTGGCGTTGCAGGTGCCCGATAGGGTCCACTACTGCCCGGTACCTTTCAACACTCATGGCCGTCAAGAACAGGGTGCTGGCGTTCACGCTAAGGTCGCTCACTGCCACTATAACGTTACACATGACTCTGCCACAGTTCCACCCATGTACGGACATCTGGTAAGAATCCCAAAACGGCAGGAACATGCTGCAGTAGATAAAGTCTGCGATCGACAGGTTCAACACAAAAATGTTAGGAACCGTTCTCATCTTGCGATTTTTGGCTATGATCCAGAAGACTAAAGCGTTAGCAACAGCGCCTATTGAAGCTAAAACCAGTTCGAAAGACGAAAAGACTATCCGACTGCTTGATGGGTATTGCCGCCATGAAGTTGTGTTGGTCACATTTGAATTGATGTTGAAAGATGCGGAGCTATCGTTGGACAATTCAATATAAGACGCTGGAATGCCCTCCGTTGCAGTCAGTGTGGCCATTTTGGCTCCGCAGTTTTTTTTACTACAAAAAGGAAAAAAAAAACAATCTTTAGAAACATGGTCATATTCTGGAATCTATGCGATTTGTTTGCAAAAAAATATCTTCTTTTCCCACAACATGGGAAAAGCAGCGCTGCTAAATATGTACATATAATAACTGAGTTCAACACAGCAATAAACGAATTTCTGAAGCATAGTTTCTCACATCAAGCCCAGGTCTGTACAGATAATGTAGAAATACCTTATACCTGATATAATTTAACGTAATAGTACAGGTCGAGAGTCGATTGAAATTTGATCAGAACCTTTTTCAGCTTGGCACTTGGCAGGGATATCCCGGGAGCATCACACACATATGTACGTACTTGGTTTTCTTTATAGTTATATGAATTTAACAGCTAGCCTTCAAAAGACTACCAATATAAAACAGATGACAGTTTAACATCCATTGTTGCTGGCATATTCGAAATGGCTTTGCCTATTATGCCTATTAATGTTTGCACATTGCCTTCTGTCGTGCATCTGGGAACGTAAACGGTTTAGGTAATGTGCCAGTCAAAGTCTGCAGGGCCCTTCAGTTGCTCAGCATTGGGCACTTAAGAGAAACGTGAGACGACGATGAACGTTAGCGTTGACACCTTTAAGAAGGTTGACACATTTCCCAACCCGGGGGGACATAAAGCTTTTAAGGCCGTACGTACATACCATACGCCACTGATTCGACTCGGGGGAGAGGGAGGGCTGGGGGCATTTCTCAAAAATTATTGCCGTTAGTGTTTAAATTATATGATTTGTTTTGTTTTTGTCCTTTTTTTCAGACGAAAATTGTACATTTGGGGACTCCTTTTATCTTTCCGTAACTTAACACTATTGGGCTGTTTCACGTCATTATGTTTCCTTTACCTGTTTACAATACATTTTTGTCATCTGCTCTAAAATTGTCCTTCCAAAAGAACCAGTCCGTTTTTGAAAACATAATGTTTTCTTAGCAGATGATACCTAGCAATGGCATAAGCACTGTAGACATGAAAGCTAAAATATTTCAAATGCATCACAGAGCGCCCAGCCCACATTAAAATTGTCACTCACCGTTGTTGACAGCTTGGCGTGGCTGCTGGTTGTTTCTCGTATGGGTCAAGATACTGCTTTAAAAACCAAACCCTCGCATCTACAGCTAATTATGAGTATATCAAATAACTCGCTTGCTGCTTCAGCTGTATTGGTCAACTGGTTCCCTTCAGACATCACGTGACTGACGACGTCAGCATGTCTGACCAATGGAAGCTAGCGGGATGCCTGATGCCCACTGCTTACATCCACACATACATGTGCGGGATATTAAATTAATAAATCATTATCATCCAAGGGTGTTATATTTTAGCACTCCCACGGAGAAACAGCCACTGCGGAGGCAATAACTATAGATTCTTCATTATTCTTCATTATTGACTCAACAAAGGTACAGTGACTCTCGTATGGTCTACTACGCTAATATCGAACAAAACGAAATACATGATGAGTCATCCTACATTCAGAATATATGTATGCGGCAAACTACGTGAAGAATAGATGCCAGCAGCAAAATTAGAGGTTTTAAACTTTTCTCTAACATGCAGTCGTTAAACATATTTTAATGTACTTCCTATTTCCCCGTTTTATTAATTTTGAGTTGGTAATTCTTAATATGATCCTTATGTTACGGGAGAAACTCACAGTTGTTTATTCAGAAGTTACATTCCTTATACTTTAGTTCAAATTTTTTATTTCAGTTATATTTTCTTTATGTATATTCATTCATTTTATTGGCTGATTTATAAATCGTATGCAATTACTTTTATTAAATTTCTTATTATGTTTGTATGTATGAATATGTATATATGTTGCCATGGCCCATAAAGTTCAGTTCAGTCTTCAGTCTATTTGCACACTGTGTGGATTATCTATTTACTTTCTGTAAAACCCTAGCCACAAATATGATATACTGTTTCGTAAGGTCTGGTAGGCGTCCTGTCCACATGCCTTAGGTAATATTGTTTAAGATTAACGTACATGGAACTGACAGATAATGAGATTACTCAGCAGTGTAAATCCGGTCGGGAATAATTAACGCTACTATTTAATTATACGTCGGGAAATGATTATGATAAGATATAAGATATATATAAAGTATGTAGTTTCGCAATTCATCTAATATTTTATATTACCTATGATAGGATGTAGGAGTACGCTAGCAATCTTGTTAGAAAATGATATGTTGTAGATCATTTTAATAGCGTTGCGCCTTGTCTTCCTGTGCCACTGCCAACGCCAACGACAAATTGCCGTTCGAAGTAATGAGTTTTACAATGATTGTACATCAAGATGCGATCCCCCGGAGGGCCCAAATGTTATTCTCTTCAGAGAGGCACTTAACAGCGTTTTCCTCACTCCATCAAGGTAAGAATTATCGCACAAAGCTATGGTAATATTCTGATAAAAGTGTCTGTGTGGGCTATAAGGAACTTAACGATTTACGTGAAGCGATGAATACTGTACGGCAATGTTAAACACATTATAGTCAGACACATTAAAATTAATGTATAGGTGTAGGGCTAAGTCTGTGGAAGTTATATATTACGGCATTTCATTACTAGGGTTTAGTACTGACTATAGGGGTTCACGTTTACGTGTTGACCATGCGGTTGTCTCACATTTCGACAAGGTAGTTTTGGAATGTCCAGTCTTGTACCCTCTGTTGGGTACATGGGCGCAGAGCCACCAGGCGTTCTTCAGGGGTCAACATCACTACTCCAAGACACTTCCCCGTCTTCTGGTCCACAAACGGACCTCCCTGGGAACAAAGATTATCTAAATATTGTAATTTAAATAGAATAGAGGAAGAACGCCATTTTGTAATAGAATGTGGACTGTATAGGAAAGAGAGAAATGAAGTTTAGTACAAAACCTATTTCATACCCTTAAGCACTGTAGAAAAATTGATATTCCTAATGCAACCCTCCATCAAAATACATATCTGTCCTTTTATCTCTACCATAACTGAAAAGAGAGAAGTTGAATACAGTTAAAATAATTTAACTGTATTCATTACATTACATTGATAACTGCATTGACAAAATGTCATTTACTAGTCTTTGTTCTGCACACGCAAAACCTATTCAGTAGGTATATGCGTAACTTAATTTTTTTCCGACGTAAGACAACTTTTTATATCTGTTTGGTGATTACGTACCTTGGTGTGGTTCCACGCGATGACGTCAGGATGGGTGCACGGTTTCTTGGTGAGCAAAAACGCCCCCTTGTGGTTCTTGACGGGAAGTCCAGCCGCCAGGCAGACGGAGTAAAACCACCTCAGCATGATCTTGTCGTCCATTCGCAGCGTGAAGGACTGTGAAAAATGAGTCGTGAGAGACAAATCTAAACCGAAAGGTTATTTTCAAATGTCTCCTCCTTTATTCTGACATCGCAAAAACAAAACGAAATGCTACAAGTGTAACATAATAAGACACACAGAGTATGCCTACATTATGAAAGCTATGTGTGTGGTCATGAAGGTTGAACAAATGACAAATAATAGACTCTTCATTTTTCATTTCTTCACATCATCCTTCCTTTCCTTTGAAATCGATTTTGGTATTCTATGACATTAGTATCGTCATCCTACAACCAGCCGCCCAAAGAAGATTTCCATCCGCCACGGATCCGTAGGACGGCCAGCAATTAAAAGAACGCGTTAAAAATTCTACAAAACGCTGTATCAAAACGCTAGCCCTCCGCCTCACCTGCTGCCCTCCCTCGCCGTGACAGAAGTACGCCCCGACCTTCTCTCCGTGCATGGCGTCCACACACAGCGACATGGCGCGATTTTTCACCTGAACCAACATAGGTTAACTTAGAATTTTTACAGAAGAAAATAAATGCTATTTGTAAGATGGGTGAGGGGGGTGGCAAAATAAGAGCATGTTAGAGTTGATTCAGAACCTGACTCCTTTTTTGGGTAGGTAAATAAAAAAGCTAGAAATTTGCAAAGCAAATGCGTAATGTTTACCTTCGCATATGGTCTGCTCTGTTAATTCTTACTCAAACATATTCGCATGTATGGTGACAGGAGTCTAAATCCCTCTTGCTATAAAATTGCAACATCATGTAACCCAACACCTGTTACCATGGTGAGAGACAATCTGGTTCAGTGAGGTCAGAGGTCACTTTTTTCGAGAAGAAGAAGAAGAAGAAACGTAGCAAAAACAATGTTTTCCTTTGGTAAACATAATGAAGCGGGCGAATCCGAGAACTAATTAATTAAATTGGTTCTAATTGTTACACTTCACAACGCTGAGATATCCTTTAATTTTCCCGACAAGCCTCATAACCCCTGCTTCTCCTAATGGGTCAGTTAGTCCTCAGTCCTCACTACTTGTGAGAAATTGGGCTGGTCTCAATCATGATGTTTCTGACTCAGGGAGAACAGTTCTACTCGGTAACCCGTAACCCAGGTGAGTGGTGATACTAGTACCATTCAGGTGGTAGCATCATTCACCTTGAAGTGTTACGTGTTACGTGGCGACCACTAAGTAAAAATCCCCCCCGTACCTCCCCCCGTGCCTTGGCCCGCAAGTCCGGTATGATGAGCTCGGGGTAGACGTGATCGATGTACCACTGGAAACTCTTACAGCCAAGCTGGTCCCGCAGGCGCTTACGGTCAGAGACATCCCCTGCGTTGGCGATCTCATTCTCCACGTGGGGTTCAAGGAATAGAAAATATCCTAAAGCAAAAAAAGTTGATGAATACAAGATGAACATTTAACATTGAATCTGGGATGTCATCAAGGGAAACAATGGATTTTTCTTGTCCACTCGTCCCTGTCCTCAAGATATATCAGATATAGACATTATTTTTACAATTTTGTACAGAATAAACACCTGTTACCTACCTTCTAAAGGGAAAGATTGACTATATAAAAGATAACCTTGTATTCGTCCAGCCAAACTTCCACCAAGCGGATGCAGTTCCGGTAGAAAACCGTTAGGCGGCTGGCGGCTTCACCGAATTTGTAAGGGTTGGCTCTTCTGAACACGTGACCCACGCGAGAACACGGCAAGATCTCGAGACTCCCTCCACACATCCAGATCTAAGATAAGGTGCAGAACACAGTTACAGTTTTCGCCCTATGGGGATATCTATAGTTAAGGAACCCAAAGTGATATGGTTCGACGCTGTAAAATTTATAGTAGGGTGCATAAGCAAGTTACAAACTGCACACAATGCTGTACCATTAGGCTCCCCCTGAGGCGTCGCCAAAATTTATGTGTTTGGGTACAGGGTAAAACCTACAAAATATGCGTCAAATATGCTCAAAACCTCGGTGCTAACAAAAATTATATTCATTTGGTTCTTTAATAAAAAAATCTTTCCAGCAATATTAAAAAAATTCTACTACTAAACAAAGAGATAGCAGTTTAAATTCGGACGCATCAGACAGCATATAAATTGTGAATCAAACATAAAACTGACTGACTTTAAACGATATCTCCAGGTTCTCTGCGCCCCAGATCTGGAAGCCCGGATCGTATCCGCCCAACTCCCAGAAAAAACGCCTGTCGATGGAGAACAGTCCTCCGGCCATAGTCGGCGACCTATGGGGATGAAACAATCAAGGTAGCAGAACACAGTTTTCGCCCCATGGGGAATTCTGTAGTTAAGGAACCCATGACTCACTTCGACGCGGTAAAAGTCATATTCCTGGCGTAGCTTTGTACGATTTACAGTATAGTCGACAAGTTTTTTATTTTTTTGAAAACACACGAAAATTCCTGCGCGCAGAGACGGGGGGCGACACAGGTTATCTGACACGTATGACATGGTCTAAAACGTAGGAAGAGAGACAGGACGATACTTGATTATCTCGTTCTGTAACCAAATGTCCTTATGTCTCCTGTCGTCTTCCTTTGGAGGCAGTGACACCCAGTCAAACTTCATCCCCCAGGTGAATCCGCCTCGCATGTTCTCATTGGCTGACTCGTACCTGGGAACGAGAGAAACGTCGTCATAGCCATTCGGGCCGCTGATTGGCTGTTCTATTCCCGTACCAACTAAACGAGTTGGCGTCATTTGGAAGGCCCTTAGTGACTATTGTATCTAACCTACATTTCAGCTATTTTGATCAACTTTCAGATACTCTATTTACTCTTAACATTTAAGTAACCAATTTCTATAGGGTGGAAGGTTATATGCTTTCAAGGTTTTTGACTCTATAATTAGGCAAATAAGGATATTTTTGCACCAATATCCTACATTCTCTGTATCAATATCCTATATTCTTACCTGTGTGTGTGGTGTGTGTATGTGTGTGTGTGTGTGTGTGTGTGTGTGTGTGTGTGTGTTGTGCGTGTCTGTCTGTGTGTCTGTCTGTCTCTGTCTGTGTCTGTGTATCAGTGTCTGTCTGTGTGTGTGTGTTGTGCGTGTCTGTGGGCGTATCTCTCTCTGTGTGTGTTTGTGTGTATGAGTTTCTACGCACATGATTCATTTTCCAAATCATGTAAACGTCTCTCCAAACACAAACTTGATACATACCCAAACGTGTTATCGTTGATCCTGTCTATAGACGGACACGGTACTGTAGTCCTGTTCCTGCCGATCCTGTCCAGTAGCGGCTCCAGCCAGCCCACGTTACACTCGATATGGGAATCCAGGAACGTCAGGACGTCTCCTCTTGCAATCTGTCATTCATGGAAATGTGAAAGAAGGTGTTGGATTAAAACATGTGCATGATGTAGAATACTAAGTAGTGATGTAGAATACTAAAAAGTGGACTGCATCTGTATTCCAAAACGCGGTCCACCTCAAAACATGTTTTGAATAGCACAAAGTAGAATGCATGTTGTGCTGTGTTTCAAAACGTGGCCCATTCCAAGACATGTTTTGGAATAACACGTTTTGGAATGCAACAATGATACCAATGCAGCGTTGTTAAAACATCTATGATTGGTCAGAATTTAAATCGTACCTCAGCTCCACGCAGACGAGCACGAATCAGTCCCTCCCTTTCAGGCAGGTGTAAAATTTTCACCTGTGGAAACCTGGATATGTACGTGTCTAGATCCCTCTTCAGGTGTTCTGTAAGGAAAAAAGTTACATTTATACAGTGGTCGACAGCTACAAATCTGTAACATCGACATAAGCTTCCTGTTTAACAGTTGCATTTGGTGCACTTCTCGGCTCTCAGCTAAAAGGGGTGGTACAAATTGCGAGGCTATTCGGAACAAAATTTTAAAGTTATAAATTTTAGATACTAGTATATATCTTATAATATTTTCTTTACATTTATATGTACCGGGGATATGTTTAAATTTGTAACTAATACATGGGCAACTGATAATGATACAATCTAACACTTAGCAGCATCAAGGAAGAACAACGCACTAGTAACTGCAGTTATCTACCTGCAGTACTGGCGTCGTCCACTAGGATGATTTCCTTGAGCAGATGTGGCGGTGACCTGTTGATGACACTGTGTACAGACCGGAGCAGGGTTGACATGGCCTCCTCACAGAAACACATGATCACGCTGGTCGTGGGGAGGCTGTCCAGGACCTCGGCCTTGTGACATCTGGAGAAAATTGTAGATAAAAACTTTATTCGTTTGTAACTTAAGGGTAAACAAAAGCAGCAACACCAAAATAGACACGTTAGCGTATTATGACTGCTTAAAGCTGCAATATGTAACTTTAGCATCATACAGATAGTAAAAGTTCTGGTCGTTTCTTTTCAAAGTTAGTTGAGTAAACCCTACTCCATTGCAAATAAGTGCCATTCGGGAAGTATAGGTGCCAACATTTGAAGCCTTACGAGTGTGCTTAAGAATTTTAAACACAACTTCTAGCCATGTTTGTTTACATATGGGCTGTTCAAGCGCCAAAGATGAATGTATGAAATTTGAGGTTATATAGCACAAATATGTTGAAAAGTAGAAGTAGATTACAATCACCAGAGTATTCAAAATAAAATATTTCAATTTTTGGTGCCAAAGTGTTACACAATGTCGCTTGATCATGAAGTAGCGGAGAAAGGATTTAATTTCGACATTTGGTAATTTGAACCATTCATTCATTCTTTGCTTCATTTGATTTATTCATTCACATACCTGACTGGTCTTGTATCCGGAAGTGATCTTTCCAACGACACCAAGTCGCTGACGTACTCGTTGAACTTTGACCTTTCCCATCCTGCCTCTATTTCCTTCTTGTGCCCCCGGAGTCTCTGTTCTATCACAGGCAGTCCCCCCGCACCTGGGGCCCTCTGGTTCCGCGGCACGGTGGTGGCGTCCAACTTTAACACCTGAAATAAGATGTTTCAGTGTACTTAGTATGAAGCATTAAACTAAATACACTACATGAAAAATCACTATTACTACGCAAACAAGCATATCACCCGTTCTTCCATTCGCAGTTTTACACGGCTCGAAATACCTACTTTTAGCTACCGGAGTTGCCTGTGACACGATCACATTGTAGCTAAAACACCTGGAATTAGATGTACACAGGGCTTACCCCACAAAACGTGGGATTTACCAATGGCGGTTAATACACACATAGGGGATGTCTCCGCCCCTTGGGCGTTGCCAAAAGCAAACTGACACGGTATGTAGTCAAAAATGCTGAATTGTGCTCCAAAACGCTATCAAAAATTCGTATCGTAATTTTAAGTCTAGTACGTCACCTTGTGTGTCTTCTTCGCCAACGTTGTGGCGTTGTGGTGCGTGTTTGGCATCGTCGTATGCTCGGTAATCTTCGGCAGATCTTCGTTGGACTTCCGTAACCTCTTCGCATATTCTTCGGTGAGAGCGAATCCCCTTCGTGTGCCCGGAGATACCCGACGACTGACGACGTCCTTCGTAAGAAGACCCTGCTGTGCGATTTCTCTTGATATCTCTGCGTCGTTCACGTCTTTCCCGTTGGCGTGCGCTGCTCCTTGGTATCTGAGCATCAGGAAGTTTACAAACAACCAAAATAGAGACGTGCAGATGACAATAAGCAAAGTTCTGCTCCTCCAAAGTGCGAACATATTTGTTGACTGTCAAAGTGTATAACAGATATCAAAGAACGGTATACGTCGGAATAAAAAAAAATATCAACAATTGCCGAGGATTTCGCTACCCGGACACGTATGTACACTTCCGAGTGAATGACACTGAAGCGTGACGATAGAAAAACAAGCACCTCTTATGACCGTGCCAAGTGCTCTTCAAGACTGAACACAAAATTGAGGGTATATGTAGTAAACTTAAGGCTAGTCCATTCAGAAGTTGGGGGTTTTCAGATGCCCCCATGCCTTCATAGATTTGAGAAGATGAAGAGGCGTAGAACAAGAGAAAAACACGTTTTCTAACCTTTATTGACCACATAATAATAAAAACTCCGCTTACAAGGCTATAAGTCACCAAAATAACGTTGATAAAAAACTCCCACAAGCTACCCTGACCATATACCACAAACAGCAAATGGTAAGGAGCTCATGATTACAAATATATACGTTATGTATGTATGTATGTAACGTTATATATATTACTAAACGATCCAGCAGAAACTGGAAGTAAACTACATATGATATATGTGACACTAGGAAACCATTACCGTGAAGTATGCATTATATGTAGCACCCTACCTACTTAAAAATTGTAATAATTTTTGTGAACGTGCACCAATACTATTTGTCGCCATGAGGCGTTGCTTTATTTTTAGGGTACCACCCATAAATATCTAAAACCAGGCTGATACAAACAGTCAACCATTTTCCATCAACGACATCACATTTTCGCCTCATTGCTATCATTATGCTATGGGATAGGTTTGATTCAGCTTGCTACATTAAAAGAATGATCAGAAAATTGACTCTGGACATCCAGTTTGTCACCTTGAAATTGCACTGGATGCCTTTAAAACAGCAGGTTATAGTGACATTCACCAAAACATACTCGCTATGCTAGCATACGACTTTGTACTCTAGTTTCTTTCTTTAATCTCAGAGCGTCGAAGATTTGCCTCCCTTGTTTATATGCTAATAGCGTTGGGAATTTCGCTGGGGTTGAGGTAAGGGTATGAAGTCTTCCTCGCTTTGTCTCGTTCGGTGCTCTCCTTAGAAATGGCGTCAAGCTCCTGACGAAATCTATGGGTGAGTGAGAAAAAATGACCTTGAGAAACTCATGCTATCTTCTTTTTCTCCCTCGGTGTTAAAACTCCTAGTACATGTAACAGTTACATCCCGTCTTTGTTTTTATTTCTTGATGCAAGTTATATGAATATTGTTGGACGAAAATGTACCCAGAGTTGTAGAGCATTAAATCAAGATGAGAACTTACTCTTCCAAAGCCTTGACTCCTAGCGGATCATACATGTACTGCTTCTCGAAGTCGCCCAGTGGCTGGGTGGCCCTCTCGCTCAGGATCTTGGTGATGACCATGATGTTCAGGGTGTGGGACTTGTTGGGGAGGGCGCTGATGATGTCTTGTTCCGTTAGAGGATCCTGTAGGGGTTATACGATAACCAGAGTCTTTATTTAGTGCAACGTAGGACGCCAAAGTCATTAGGGAAAACATTAAACAACATCAAAAAATGTGCCTTCTCAGTTATAATAGTGACCTTTGCCTTGATCGGAAACTGTCGTTTACCTTAGTCTTAGGTGGTTCTCCATGCATGAATGCTGGGTAGTTTGGAGGGAAGCCGTACTCGTCGTACTGGGCGAAGTTGGCGGCAGCGTGGCCGACACTGCTGATGAATATGATGGGCGTTACTGTGGCAACGATCTCATCAACAGTCGTAAACTTTCCACCGCCAGGCACTCCCTGGAAAGATTACAATTATAACGAAGTCTACTCGTTAGTCACACACTATGGTACCATCAAAAAAATACTGCGAAAAAATTTCAGCCGAGATATTTTCCTGGAAAAATGGGAACGAGAGTACCTTTATCCCACAGCCTCCGTCTGCCTGTGGTGCACTTAACTCTCGTGCCCAGGCCTGGAGTTCATGATCTTCGGTAATCTTTGCTGGGACATCTATAATGGACGAAAGGTTACATATTTTAAAGTGTGAAAGGTTACTTATGCTTGGACAGATTTACATAGTTTTTTTTACACAATGTGCTTAAACGATTCTCCTTTGGTGAAATGCGCATATTTCGGTCCCAATTTTAGGAAACCAATAAAAGATTTCCGCATATCTGTGTATAGTGAGCATTCTGAAACAAAATGTGCTTCATACGTCGATGAAGGTTAGACATCCAGGTAATATGATACGTCAAAAAGCAGTTACTCAAACAACTGGATATGATTTTGAAAACGTCAAACTGACGTTTTCAAAATCATATCCAGTCCAGTTGTTTGAGTAAAATGTGCTTCATCTTCTACATAGTCATCGTTACAGTGAGAACAAATTCTGTCATTTTGGGGAGTCTGATCTGGTTGTACCTGCCATCTTGAAACTGGAAGACATAACCGTTTAACCAGTCCCCTGGAACAACGACTTTCTCGAAATTGTAATTGGCGATAGAACAGAAGATGGACATCATTTTATAGTAGAAGGCCTTACCATATGTTGCCTCCACCACCTTCCTGACGTATCTGTTGATGGCGTGCCAGATGGGGAGGGCGTCATCACGGTACGGGTAGTTGGGGAGGGCTTCAACATCATCCACCTAGGGAAGCGACGGTCATAATTATAACTAGGAAGGTGACATTTGCACATGTATAATGTTTACCTTCATAAGGTCTATTAAACCTTACAAAGCACTGCTCTGTTACACAAGCACATTCATATATGTATGGGAACCAAATCCTTTACCATTGTCCTGCGACTTGCTACATAATGTAACCCAACACGAAAAGGTGTTGATTTACTGACCCCACGGTTCGCCAGTTCAGCAGGAAGAGTACCCTGAACGTCCATCCTCCAGTCTTTCCAGCTATGGAAAAAAACAACAATGAATTCAAACAGGGTATGGATGTACTTCATTATATCACACTTGTCTTTTTCCAGCATTATTCATGCATACGACACCGTATCTACGTCTAGTAGAAGAGCTTTAATAGCATGAAAGGTCATCTGTGTTGGACTGTTGGTAAATCACATAATGAGAATTAAACTGTTCTGCAACTCAACGGGTTTATATTTGACTAATTTGGTGTTTGTGAACGAATCCAACTATTTTTCGAGAGGAGTGAAGGAGGCCATCTACATCAGGGCACACCAACCTTCTCTCAACTGGGACGGGGGGCGTTGCCGACTTCCGACGACCTTTGACCCAGTGCTGACGTCACACGTGCGGAAAAATCACGTGTCTACAGCACAGTACAGCAGAAAGCTGATTAAGCCGGTGACTCAAATCCCTCGAGTTAAAGAACAGTTTAATTCCCGATAAGACGAGCTTGATACTTACACTTTCTTTATAATGTCGAAAAGTCCCAGTCTTCCCATATGCATCGACTCGTCGATCCATCCGCCAGGACAAACCAATGTCTTCAAAGCAAGACTGCAGAAAAGAAAAGAAACAAGAAATCTGAGATCCAACCTCCGAGAAGTGTATATAATGCACATAAAAGAAGCTAGGGTGATATTACAATTATAATACACAAGACTCTGAGCTGCGTGTATCGAGTGACAAAACTAAAAGTGTAACGACAACCAAAACATGCACACTGGGCAAAGCTAGAAAGGCAGGGTGATAGTTGAACAATTATCATCATTATCGCAAGGGGGCGCTCACGTGTTGATAGCCAGTAGGTACAGGAAGTGGGGTGCCATCAGGCGGAACATCGGGTGTGATGCAGACAGTTGGCGATGGGTGCAGGTCGCGCAGGACCCGATTATGAGATGGGTGAGTCCTAAAACAATGTGAAATTTATTTATTCCATAATTTCATCCAACAACATGACTGTAAAATGATAGCGCAAGCATAACGTCACATACATACACACAAACACACACAAACAAACACACAAACACACACACACAAACACAGACACACACACACACACACACACACACACACACAACACACACACACACACACACACACACACACACACACATACATACACACATACACACACACACGCATACACACACAACGTCTGCTTTAACCTACCAAGATGAGTGCATGACTGGTGAAAAGAGCAGTCGGCCATGTTGTACCACATCTTCGCGATCATCCACGTGTAGGGAGGGTCGGATGGAAGAAACACCTGAAATATGATTCAATATATTATAAACTAAATTCCATCGCATGAACAATCGTACTGAAGCATGTTGTAGTAGATACAGACAAAAAATAAAAATAAAATTATTGCACAATGCACATGGATCTAAAAATTCTTACCGGATTGTCTGGTCCCTTGGTTGGGAAAAGCTGAATGGCGACTGGCATCAGGTCCTTGTCCTTGTTTACGAACAGTAGAGAGTACGGGGCGCAAAGCTGTGGGAAATGATGAAGGGATACAATCTTTGGTATCTGTCCACAAGGAAATTGTGGGTCCTCTATGAGTAAATTACAGTACTTACTTATATTTCAGTTCATACTATGGTATGGATAAAATGCATGGCATATTATTTCTTCTCCTCCAGTCGTTTCGTAAAATAGATTCAATTTCTTCGTGACAAGTCTGGGTCAGTCTACTAAGGAAGATCAGAGAGACTGGCCGAAAGCTCTGTTGTGTTGGAATAAAAGTTTTATCCGTAAACACCATACCTTCCTGTTATTGGTACACTCAGTTCCCTCCAAGAATCGTTAGATCAACCATGTAGACCCGCTTAGACCCCAGGGCATCCTCGAGAGAAAGTCCCTCCAGAAAGGGTTCCACCATCTCAGCTGTCACGCCAAAACTGTACAACAAAAAATACACGTAAAGTTGATGTCATTTTAGAAGTTTGTGATTTTTCTTGGAGTCATATTATATCATACATTGTTCTAAGCTTCTTTCATCAAATTGGCACAATTATACACCTGTTAGTGATTACGGATGTACAACCGAGCACTGCGTGTTGTTTTATTACTTGTCAGCCCCACATAGGTATTTGTCAATTCAAAACGCTCAAAGCATGTATATCTTTATTACATGCTGTTAGATGAACAATTTTCTTACTTCTCTGGGATTTTTCTGCACAGCTTGAAAATATTCGGGTTGCATCCCATCAGCCTTTGCTCGCCGAAGTTGAGATCTTCTTTCCAATAGGCCATGCCCTGGTTAAGAAGAACAACCAATTGTAAAGCCTGTATAAAATGGGTATTTGCCCTCTGTACCTTGATACCAAAGTTTAGGTCATTTACTTCAAAATGAAGAAATTGAATCCATTTGACGAAATTGGATGAGAAGAAGAATAAGAAAGATGAGGAAAAACATCATATTTCCCCCGTGTATTATGTACGGAGTGAAATATAATGATGATGGCAACTCCATAGATGTATCCATACCTTGGGAGGGCCAAGACTGTACTGGTACACGTTCTTTAAGTCGTCAAGACTTAGCCACTTGTCAGACGTCATGTTGACAATCTTACTCTGGGCGAGCAGCAATATCTTTTTCTTCAAAATGTCGAACTGAAATGTAAGTTCAAAGAAACTTGTTGTAAGTACTAGATATGTTTGTTTAGTTAGTAAGTTTGGAACACATTCCTTCCAAAACGTATGATTTTGTTTCCTAAAGAAGAGATATGATATTGGTTACAGCCTTTTTTATATTTATTCCATAAAATAGGTAAACATCACTTACCCGATGAGCGTTGGAGAAATGCTCATCTCTTGGCGTTTCTTTGATCTGAAGAGAAAGAGAATATAAATTTTTCCTCATTTAAGCCATGTACTTTTGATTATATGGATGGCATCAATTTTCGTCCATTTCCCAATAAAAGTTTTAAAACATACCACAAAACAAAGCAGCAAAATGAACAAAAATAAACCATCATTTTCACAAAATCAACAATCAATTTGATACCTAGCAAATACACATGGAAGAAGGAGTTTGACTTCAGTATTGTTAGGATAAACAAATCATTATCATCAGCGTTTAACCCATGAACTGTACCCACCTGAACAGGCAGCCCCTCGTTCTGCTGGTACTGGTACTGCTGTCTCTTGGCGTTCAGCAGCCTGGTGCGCTGATCGGGGTGCTGTTCAAACTGGGGCAGACAGCTGTCGTACTGTGTCAGGAACAGCCGCTCGCCTGCGTTCACCCACCTGATCGTGTGTATGTTAGACCATGCTGATTTGGTTATATGAATTTCTGTCCATTTCCCCCCAAAAAAGCTTGAACATACAGTATATTTCACAAAGCAGCTGCAAAAGGAGCAAATATATGCCATAAATTGTAAACAAATGTTAACTAATGTCGTAGAATGCTAAAATCAATTCCAAATAGAATGAAGAACATATGACCACGTAGATTTCATAATGAAGGCGATTTTTTATTCGCTCACTCGCATCAGTATTGTGGTTCCCAGAGGATGTCATCCTTATGATCAAATCAACATGGCCTTTGTCACATTGCCAAGTAGGTGTTACAGCGATCTCGCCCCGCGGCGATTTCGCCCCACCCTCTCCTTAGATCTCGCCTCACCTTCCCTTAGTTAGTCTACTCTTTTACACCGTACCACAGGTATGGCAGGTACACAAATTTGATTAACAATTTTAACGATACTATTACCGATTAGGTTGAAGCAAGAAAATTAAGTAACCTCCTTGTTTGAAATATTTCCTGTTGAGCTGATCACTGGTAAAATAGTTTTGAGAGTTTTAACGAACAACATAATTCATAAATCACGAAATTCTGTGAGTAGAAGTGACACCGGCGCCCGGTCGGGCTGCTTACGTGAACTAAAAGCATACAAACAATCACGGTCAATTGTTGCAAATCGTTTGTGCTTTGTTGTCTTTTATATCTTAACGTTCACGGAATCTGCCCGGTCGGGCCTCACCCAACTTGGAATGTGACCTTTAGCATAAGGGGGGGGGGGGGATCATCAGCGCTGGAGCAGACTCACCTCTGCACTGGGAACACAAACTTCGGTTTTCCGGGAAGTTCCACGGTGATGACCTCCACGAACCAGTCGTCTATCTTCAGAAAGTCGTCCCTCCAGATCTCAATCTCCTTCAGATCGTGCGGCAGGATGAGGGCGGAGACCTGAAACGTGTCCAGACTACCCGCCTCGAAGTCGTTCTTCCACCAAACGTCGAGCAGCACGTCGCGGGTCCGGTTGCCCTTGACGTCGTGCAGGGCGATGTAGACGTTCCCGTCCGTGCCTCCGCCCTTGACGTCGCCGGTACGGACCGTGATGACGGCGTCTACCGCGGAGCTGTCGCTGCTAGACATTGTCCCCGTCTTCTTGACTCGCTATGAATGATGACCCTGACGGCAAATCAGGTCAACACAACTAGTATTTCAACTATTGTTAAAAAGAAGCCGGAGGCAAAACAAGCTGCCGTTCTAAATTCAAAGCACGTCAGCTAATAGCCGTGAACGACTCTTCTAATCCTTTTTGCATGGGGCACTCCATAGGACAAACAAATTCAAGGGGGCCCGCAAGCCCTTTTCCGTAGAGCGTAATCGGCCGTTTTTAATAATTCGACGTAGAGCGTAGACGGACCGCTCTAATATTTTTGCGTGGAGCGTAATCGCCGTTTTAATTCTACGTAATGCGTTGTAGCCACTTGGAATTTATCGTAAAGCGTAATCGAGATGTTTCCGAATTCAGTGTAGAGCGTTGTCGGCCCCCCCTGCAGGCCCTCAATCAACCTTTGCCGTGCCGGGCCTCATGCAACGGGCAGGCCCCAGATTTTTTGTGTCCCTGGCTTCCCGACGCACTCACCTGCCGGGCCGGGGGGATAAGACCCTAAACAAACGCAGCATTTAACCACAACACGGCCTCGGAGCACGTAACTCCATACAAATACTCGGCGACCGGCGGCCATGTTGAATTTCTACGCTGCTAAAATCTGTATCCGGCATTATCATGCAAAAAGTATTACTAGAGCCGTCCACGGCTAGTCAACTAAACTCCATATGTCTAGACTTAGCTACAATGCAGCTTCATCGAAACAAGGCGTCATAAATGAATCCCTGTTTCCGTTCTTTTTAACAAATCAAATGACCTACACCTATAAATGACCTATTGTTTTGGATGGCACCGTGTAGCGAAAAAAAAAACACACAGAGAGAAAACTTAACATTTAATGGATCGGGTTCGAACCCTGCCATGTCACCGATCTTGTGGAATTTCCTCACTTCACTCAGGTGAAAATGAGTACGACTGTAGTCCGTTCATGCGTTTGTCTGCTTTGGTGGCGGCATAGAAAAAAACTTGAGTGTGCCTTCTAGCCTGGGTACCATCCTGGTTAGTTTAAACGTCCGCTGCCACAGTTGCCATGTCTGGTAATAAATGTTGGAATAGACAAAATACTACTTTTGGAAAAAAGTTACAAACTTACCGTCCTCCGACTCGGAGACGCTCAGGACGTTTGCGTGTAGACTGGTTGAGCTCCACGGAGAAAATGTCACATTTACACGGACCCTCCTACTTTAATTATATGGTCGTTTGGAGAAAACCGGTTCGACAAAAAAAGGACTTCTTCGAACTCGAGGGACTCTTCACTCCATTATTATTTGCGTATCAATCAATAGTCCGAGTTTATAACCCTGTTAAATTAGAAATGTCACCAGTGTCTGAGGAAACCTGAAACGTCTAACCGTTGCCAAAACTACATCCAGTATTACCGATACAATGATGTCTTCATGTTGTTTTTAACACATTTAAACAAGTTTGTACTGAAATCATCTCTCACATATGGGTCCCCATTTTTTAGCATTACATATGTATATACATATATATATATATATATGTGTGTGTGTGTGTGTGTGTGTGTGTGTGTGTGTCTGTGTGTGTGTGTGTGTGTGTGTGTGTGTGTGTGTGTGTGTGTGTGTGTGTGTGTGTGTGTGTGTGTGTTTGTGTGTGTCTGTGTGCGTATACACACAACTCCACATTAAAAAATAGAATAAGAAATTTACCAGTCTAAAGATTAAACGACTCCAATTATTTTTGGCCCACCCCTGTTACTAAGGTCACAAGAAGATTTACGTTTTGCCGCCATCAGCTTTTAATAATTATCTTCCTTCCTGCTTTAGGCTATTTCGGAACCCAGGCCCGATAACAGCACAGCTGGTATTTTCCGGCGCTCTTACTATGGCGTGTTGATATTGAGACGGACTTCGAACCTCTCGACTCTGAAGTAGCCTCCATAGCATGCCAAAAACTGGGGGTTTAAGGGTCTTCATGGTGTTTGGGAGCTTTTATGTGCTATTTTCTGATTGCATATAGACAACATAGCCGGCCTGGTTGAATTAGACCCGTTTTTCGGGCTAATCAGAAAACAGCCGAAGTCCACCACACCCCCAGTTCTATAAGCCTGCTACGGAGGCTAACTCTGTAGCCCCTGTCACACATTCCCCCGACCACCAACAAACCAAGGTTGACGGTAGGTTACATGTAGGAGCAGTGTGACCAGATTTAGGCCACGCCTACATTTTTGTCGGATCGAATAAAATTTGAGTTAAATGGGAGTCAAATTTGACTGCCAACCTCGCACTGACCACTGCTGACCTACTCCCAACCACCAGCCAACCAGTTCCCAGCTATGGCCCAACCTTAAACCTATCCTGTGTCAAACTATTTCTGTTGGGATTTTACTTCAACTTCCAACACATGTAGTTGATTTGCTCCTGAGGGTAGATTTCTGTTTGTTGGCTTTTAAAAAAATTGAATATGATTAAGAACCAGTCCACTGACCTTCAACTTTATTCCATGTGCCCTTTGCAATACTTTAATACCGTCCGTCCGACATTAAGGCCATGTTGATTAAATTATATGGATGACATCCTCGCGCGTATGAATTTTAGTCCATTCCCAAAAAAAAGGTTTCGACCATACTGTATTCACTTGTTCAACATTCATGCCACGTAGAATTAATAACAAAGGCAACTTTTTGGCAAACTTTTTTATTCGCACGCTTGTATCAGTTTTGGGGTTCCCAGAGGATGTCATCCAAATAATGAAAATCAACATGGCCTAATGACAAATGTAAAGCTAACGTTTCCTGTGTCCGTAAGACTGGTCAATAATGGTATATAAACGACCATGTCGTACGAGTTAACTCGTCATTGAGCTGGAGTGACTACTGCAGCACAGCCTATACTCCAGCCAAGGTTATAGCAGGCAAAATGAAGGTCATCCTTGCAGCCACTATTTTTCTGGGTAAGTTGGAGTTCTAGCCAACAGTATACACTGCCGTTGTTTATAGTTATGGAGATATCATGCAAAATATACATGTATGTTTCTCTTCTAAAGTCTTCATCCAACTAAAACAATATTGTTGAATGAATGTTTATTGATTGATTTGAAAAAGACCCATGTGTAACTGCCAGAATTCTTGCTCGGATTTTGGGAACGTGAGCTAAGTTCCAAGAATTCTGGCTCAGATTTCCAGAATTCTGGTTAAGTTCCGAGAAATATCCCCGCAAATATATCGTACTTACTTGCAAATATTTAATTCATTGGGTTAAATCTAATTTAAAACGATGAATGTTTTCCGGAATCGGAGTGTTTGTCCCGGTTCTCAGTGTGCTAAAGGTTATGGTTTTAATGGTATTTTCCATGTGTAACAAACAGTGGTGCTGGGTGTTGAGGCGGTGGCGGGGAAGGCGGCCCGTAACGTGGTACAGTTCGGCTCCATGATCTCTCACGTCACCGGCCGGAGCGCGTTCGACTACCTGGAGTACGGCTGCTACTGCGGCATCGGAGGGTCAGGCACTCCTGTAGACGACATAGACAGGTACAGGAGTTTATTACCTTCGCCAGAAGGTTATGTTTTTGAGTTTGTATGTGTGTATGTCTGGGTGTTTTGTATGTCTGTGTTTTTGTATGTCTGACCAGATTTAGACCGCACTTACAATATACATTTCGATACCAATCAAAATTGAATTTTAGTTAAATTTGGCTCCCGAACTCGCCTCCAACATTACTGACTTTAATATACTCAGGAACATCTGCCAACCATGGGCCAACCTCCCATACAATCCCGAATATTCTGAAACACTCGCCTGGCGCAGCCGAACACCAGCCAACAACAGCCGACCCTGCTCCCGACCTATAACAACCCATGGTTGGAGGAAAGTTCGCGATCGGCAGTGTTAGGAGGTCATATTCGGCTATGTATGACAGGGCTTTACCTAGTGAAAACTTCCAGGTTTTGACGAAACTCTGCTCCCCTCCCCCAGGTGCTGTCAGGTGCACGACAGGTGCTATGAAGCGGTGTACGGAGTCGGTCTCGCGCACATCGTCACCTACTCATGGACTGGTGTGGTCGGAGGTTACGTCACTTGTGGTACGTTCTGGACACACACGGAAACAGATACACACTCAGACAAACATGACAAACGCACGCAGACATACATACACAGACACACCCACGGACACACAGACGCAGCCCACACACGCACACAAACACACACACTGGCGGCAGTGGGGTCGTGTGGCGTAGCGGCAGAGTGCGCGACTCGGAACTAAAGAGTCCCGGGTTCGATCCTGACATGCCACCGATCTTGTGCCCTTGGGAAAGGCACTTTACACGAATTTCCTCACTTTGCTCAGGTGTAAATGAGTATTGTTTTGTCATGTATTTGTCCCCTGTATTGGTGGCGGCATTAATATAAATTGAAAAAAAACTTGAGTGTGTCGTCACCACGTCTGGTGATTACATGTTTAACTAAAAAAAATGAACACACACACACACACACACACACACACACACACACACACACACACACACACACAAACAAACAAGCATGACAACGCACGCAGACATACAGACACACCCAGAGANACACCCCCCCCCCGCACACAAATGATATGTAACTCCAACGTGTTACCTACCAACACATGTATATCAATCACCAATACTTCCTTTTCTCCACTTGACAGACAATGACTTTGGAACAGTTGCCCGTGACGCGTGTGAGTGTGACCGGGAGGTCACCTACTGTTTCAGGAGGTACCCGTACCCGGGTAGACAGCCTTGCTGAGGTCAGGCCAGCAGAGAAAGGATTAATCATCTACAGAAAGACACCTGTGAAATGTCTTCTGAAAAAATCGAACAAGCTCTCAAGTCTCAATACAACAAGAACAATATACAACAATAAAATGTATTGCATCCTTCTTCGTTGTATCTTTTGTTTGTTTTTGTCTGTAGATTTGCTGCCCTTATTGAATGACTAATCTTTATTGAAAATTCCTGCCCAGATGGGCTAAATGCGCATATGCGGGTATAAATTAACATTGAAAATGCTACATAATGCCAAATACTTTTTAAGTCAATGCATTAGGACAATACTTTATCATATAATATTGTTATTCTACTGTTTATCACAGTTTCTTCTCTAATGTTATTAAAATATGGAAAATAAACACAAAGGTAGTGTAAGTCACCTGCTAGCAAAATTCGCTAGTTGAAAATAAAATGTGATCATGAAGCATTTGCTCCCTGAAAAGTTGCTTATATCTCATATAAGCTCATTCCCATCCCATACAAGCCATACACTCTTATATTGGTTAGGTATTATGTTAAAGCCGTATGAAATTGCAGTTATATACCAGTAGATGCAATGCATTGTACTCTGTACAATTGTTATGCAATAAGTGTATAACCTTAATGACCTATTGTTAAGGGGGTGTGGTGGGGGGCGGAGTCTTACATGTAGCTATAGCCTAGAGATAGTAACTATATCTGGAATGTTAACAGAAATCAATTTCAAGCTGACGTCTATTTGACAGGAAAAACAAACGGAAGCGTGTTTTTATCCGTGTCTGTAATTAAAGTAAACACTGGTGTATATAAGTAACACTGCCGGAATACGAGTGTCCGCTCCAACTCACAAGGCAAGGTTAGAGAGTTTAGCAGCATGAAGGTCACGGTAGCAACGGTAGCAGTCGTCCTGTTGGGTAAGTTGGATTTCTTGAGAACAATATGTAGTTTATCCGTAAATAATTTCATCAGGTTGGTGAATGATCGAATAGTAAATTAATATTAGAATATTAGAATTAGAATATTAGTACTAATGGGATTAGTTACTGGAGCTAGGTGTTGCTGTAACAATGCAGTCCTAAGCGTAAAACAATATTGTGACATACATACTAGGTATTTGACGCTTGTGGTTGCATTGTTACTTCGCTCCAGTACACAGTGAACCAGTAACACCTAGCTCCATGCAGTGCAAAGTAAACCAGTAGCACCTAGCTTCAGTGCATAGTAAACCAGTCATACATGTATTAGCCACGCAAGGATAGACGGTGATCGAAAGGCCGCTCCATGTAAAACAAACGGTGTTTCAATAAATGGACGAACTTTCCTATTCAATCGCTCACCAACCTGACAGAATTATTCACGGATATAAACAAATTTGGCAGTCGGACTGGGTTTTGAGGGGACGGCAGGGAAGGCGGTCCGGAGTGTTCTACAGTTCGGGGTCATGATCTCTCACGTCACCGGCCGGAGCGCGTTCGACTATCTGGAGTACGGCTGCTACTGCGGCATCGGAGGGTCGGGGACTCCTATAGACGACATAGACAGGTATGTTTTATAGTACAATGTTAAACTTTCCAACACAAATATTACATAAGGATGATATTTTTATCGACCACTGTCGCCTTCATGAAAATGGCCGACACGTAAGCTGTATATATATGTATATGTGTATATATACACATAGACACACACACACACAAATGTATAGACACACACACCGAGAGAAAGAGAGAGAGAGAGAAATAGAGAGAGAGGGAGAGCTAGAGAGAAAGAGAGACATGGAGAAGTAGAAGCCAATAATATATGATGAAGCATACTAAAACACAAAATCATGAAATATCAGATATATCAGATCATTATGGATTTGTTTTCAAAACATTGTTATGAGCTGCAACAAAAATTTTCCCTCTATCTTTCCCGCGCGCGTCAGATGCTGTGAGGTTCACGACGCGTGTTACACCGTGGTGGACCCTAATGACGGCCTCGGTATGGCTCACCTGGTCAACTACCACTGGACTCCGGAGGACGGTGGACTCGCTACATGTGGTACGTCTTTTCGTACTCATATCTTTTGATATGATATGTCATCAGTCGTTGTGGACATTATGCATGATACACTTACTAACTGGAGGTTTGGAATCTCATATTTCTTGTTCTTTGCTGTATTAAACAGATGACGACTTTGGAACCGTGGCCCGGGACGCGTGTGAGTGTGACCGGGAGGCCGCCTACTGTTTTAACCGGTACCCGTATCCGGGGAGACAGCCTTGCTGAGCACAGACCGAGTAAATCATGTATTCCCCATTTTCCCATTCCCAGGATGCATAGCGCCTGGGAGTAACAATTCCCAGATTGCATAGTGCCGGGTTCGATATACGACATACTAAGTACTGTTGATATTAAAGAGCTTGTTTCTCTGTGTATCTTAAGGAGTTGGAGTTTTGTTTTTAAAATTACGTGACTTCCTACAGGTCAAATCTGATAAAAAGTGCGATATTCTTATGTTTTTAAGTAAACATGGAACATGCGGTTTACAACGTTACTATTACTCTACAGTGGTACCCTGGGTGCCAGAATAGTCTCGGGCCGTTAGCCGTTTTCCTTCGGCAGCCAAGAGCCCTTGGCCCGCCTATCTAGATTACCGCTACGGGGCAGTTGATCCCAGGGGGAGTTTTGCTGGCCAAACGTTACACCGTCTGTCATTAAAGGAGATACAACTACTGCTGGAAATAATTCAGCATTCAATCTGTTTCATTTATAAGAAATCACAGTGACATGTATTACCAGGCATTATTCACAATACCAGTTAAGTGTAGTTCAGAACTCCCAATGCATTTAAGATAAATCAAGCCAAAATGATGAGCAGACAAATTTGCTGTCTATATTAAATCGTAATGTCAAACCAGTTGTGCCAGTTTCTGTCATAATCGCCACGGATACGTTTTATTTCGATGTAACGCGTTCTTTATCCATATTTTGTTGTCCTGAGCCTGATGAACCCAGTTCCCCGGCGTTTGACGCATGTCCTGGGGAGTCATCGGTGGAGTGGGAGGGGGGCGAGCCCATGACCTCCTCGTATGTTGGCGGTGGAGGGATTTCTCTCAACGTAACGTTGTCATAACGATTGATATCAGATGAATCGTTCTCATCAGAACCTACAGTCCTGTTTGATGGTCCAACCTCCTCCGATCCTAGTTCTCCATTTTGACCCATTGATGACTGTAGTGACGCGTGCACAGGTTCTGGTGACGTGTACACGTGTTCCGGTGGCGTGAAAGCAGACTCCACTACGTCATTGACACCCTCCCTGATCATCCGATGCTGCCAGCGGACTAGCAGGTAACAAACCACAAACCCAGCCAGTAGGCCCACGCCGATCGCAGCCTCGATGATTTTGTCTTTCATGAGTGACGATCCATCTGACTGGTGCTTGGATGCTACAAAAACATGAAGCCAAGTTTTTAGAAGACTAAGTACTGATGCAAGCGTGCCAATTAAAATGTTTGGCAAAAACAAAAAAAAAGTTGCCTTCATTTTTAAATCTACGTAGTCAAGAAGGTTGAACAAATGACTAAGCACACAGAGTATGGTATGGTGAATAATAGACTCTTCATTTTCATTTCTTCACATTTTCTTCTTTTCCTTTGGATTTTCCTTTGGCATTCTACGCCATTAGAATCTTTTTCCAATATTTTTTGGCAATTACATTTACTCATTTTGCAGCTGCTTTGAACGATTTACAATATGGTCGAAAAATACCGTTTTTTTAACGGACGAAAAGTCATGAGCGCGGATACCATTCGTAAAATCAAATCAACATGGCCTAACAATTTTTTGTTGAAGTTGATTGGGTTACCCGGGTCCTTGATGAGGTAGTAGTGTAGAGTGAAGGACCCGGTGACGGCATGGTCGGTGAGGAGCCGGACGTACACAGTCCCGCCGGTCGGGCCCTTGAACCCCCCGGTACGGCCTGAACACACCATCAGGTCAGCAGTGTGAGGGGTACACGGTCTAGTGAGGGGAACACATGATCATGTCCAGGGGCAGTAGCTTGTGTTTGGGCTATTTCAAACACTTCAAGTATGAAATGATGAAATGCAATTAAAACCTAGTCATTCTGAAAAGCAAAATCTATTCATACCTGTGATCGCAAATGTAGATTTTGTCGTAGCAGAAAAAGCCCCCTTCGATGTCCACTTGGTCGAAGTGTAGAGTGATGTACACATCTTTACGGTAAGGCACGAGCGCCACCGTGCAGTCCGTGTTAGAACTGTACTTATCCCATCCCAGTTTCCCCGACCCGGTTATGTTCAGAGATGATCCACAATAGTCAGACATCTCTACTGTTCAAGCGCGGAGAAACAAGGCATTAATATTTTTTTGCAATATATAAAACATATCTAAATATATCAGTTTGTTGTACCACCACAAACTACCAGAATGTAAAAAACATGGCTGACAGCTGTGTTTCCAACTTTTAAACACTCACAAGGCATATTTCGACACCTACACTTCATGAATGGCCCTAATAATAATTTGCAACGAGTAGGGTTGATATGTAACTTACTTTGTAAAGAAATGACCAGAAAATGTACCTTTTGTAGCGTCAGAATGTTACATGATATAGTTTTAACTACACCTACCCATGTTACACAGACCGTCAGTACACACAGATATCAGGAGGGAGAAAAACATAAGTCGTCTGGCAGCCATTCTGGACTGTCGGTCTGGTGTTTATAATCATATCTGTTTCCTTGGTAACGAGAAAACTGTTGTTGTTCTAGAGCACTGCTCACACCCGTGAAGAAGTTCATCATGTTGGCAAGAGACTGTGCTTTATCAGCACCAAGAACAGGCAATGTTTTCCTGTGTGGATGGCATTCAGCACCAAGGACTAGGGGAGGTGTGTTTTCCTGTGTGTGGATGGCGTTCAGCACCAAGGAGAGGGCAGGTGTGTTTACCTGTGTGTGGATGGCGTTCAGCACCAAGGACAGGGCAGGTGTATTTTCCTGTGTGTGGATGGCATTCAGCACCAAGGACAGGGCATGTGTTTTTCTGTGTGTGGATGGCATTCAGCACCAAGGACAGTGCAGGTGTGTTTACCTGTGTGTGGATGGCGTTCAGCACCAAGGAGAGGGCAGGTGTGTTTTCCTGTGTGTGAATGGCATTCAGCACCAAGGAAAGGGAATGTGTGTTTACCTGTGTGTGGATGGCGTTCAGCACCAAGGAGAGGGCAGGTGTGTTTTCCTGTGTGTGAATGGCATTCAGCACCAAGGAAAGGGAATGTGTGTTTTCCTGTGTGTGGATGGCATTCAGCACCAAGGACAGGGAATGTGTGTTTTCCTGTGTGTGAATGGCATTCAGCACCAAGGAAAGGGAATGTGTGTTTTCCTGTGTGTGGATGGCGTTCAGCACCAAGGAAAGGGAATGTATGTTTTCCTGTGTGTGAATGGCATTCAGCACCAAGGAAAGGGAATGTGTGTTTTCCTGTGTGTGGATGGCATTCAGCACCAAGGACAGGGCAGGTGTGTTTTCCTGTGTGTGGATGGCATTCAGCACCAAGGACAGGGCATGTGTGTTCTCCTGTGTGTGATGGCATTCAGCACCAAGGACAGTGCAGGTGTGTTTTGCTGTGTAAAATGAGCTAGAATATGCCATAAATTGCAAAATGCTTGAAAACGATTCTAATGTTGTGGAATGCCAAAATCAATGCCAAAGGAAACAATGTGAAGAAAATGGTTTACCAGACTGCCTAGTCTTTGTTTAACCTTTATAGCCACGTAGATTTCATAATGAAGGCAACTTGTTTTATTTGCATGCTCGCATTAGTTTTGGAGTTCCTGGACGATGTTATCCATATAATCAAATCAACATGTCCTTACCTTCCGACTAATTCAACCAGATAGGACAATAAAACACAATAAAGAAACAGATTTACACTAGCAGTTGCAACATGGTATGCATAATTTATTACAGCTTTTTTTTACTTCAATTACATGAGGATTCCTAGCATCTTTCCTCTCTCAGCTATGCTGACTGCCCAAAGACCACATTTGCTCTCATCTCCTGCAACACAAAGTGTACAACAACCCTTCTGCGGAAAATGCCATATACAGAACACATCTCACTTCTTCCGGTTCCCTCAGCCAGTAACAATACATGTCCTCCCTTTTTTGGCTACACCTCAGGAGCGGAGCCAACGATGGAATACTGTAAATCTGGAACTGCACTTAAAGCCATGGTTATGTGGCCTGAGCAGTCCACAAAGCTTCCTGGAGGACAAATATTTCTAGCAGTTCCATGGTGATTGAACACATGGAATGCACAGGCATACACTAGGTACAATACTTCTTGTCATAGTAACATGTACACACCAGTCTCCCAAGATCTCTAACCCTCATCGCTTCACATACTGTATGTAATGCACAAGTCCTGGGTATCTGTGCAGGAAGGCGTTGCAAAGAACTACTATAACCAGTCTTACGTTTTAAATTGGTTGGCCAAATACTTGGATCCTGGTCAGTTAGTTGTGATGTAACACATTAAAATCCCGTTTACAGACTTCACACTACAATTCTGCAAATTTTTTAAAAGTTTGACCAATATGACTTGGAGTTAACAAGAGAATTTGTGCTGCCAACAGAACGTACAGTATGGCTCTCCTTTTTCACACAGCTAGAGCCCAACACCATTCCTCCCCATCCCAAGTACAACGGTTGTCTGGCCGTGTTTGAGATTCACATCATGTAAGGAGACACCTTGTTAGGCTCTATTTAAACTGCTTTGTTTTGAATCAAAGAGAGACATAATGTAACAACTAGGAGCCCTAATTCTTTTTCTTTGGAAGTGGAACTTTTCTTGGTGCTCAAACTTTTACTTGGACAAATAATAGTAACAAAGGTATATGTGGTACAGGAATTGACAGTACGTGAAGATATCAGAGAACATGTTTCCAGTTTTGTTCAACAACCACCATACAGATAGACAGGACTTGTGCAGTGTATCAACCCACAATCACGCCCAACCATGCAGACAGCTACATTATACACAAAACTAAGTTTCGCTTTCTCATCCACAACCTAATAAATTACAATTCAAGCCATATTTATAAGTCCTCCAACATCAAATTTCCCTTGATTCAATCATCCAGTAGCGTGTTGGAGGGCCCTCGAGACACACAGTGGAAGATCACATGAAAATTCAACTTACAATCCACATTGTATATATATAGATGCTAAATAAAGATAATAAATGCATTGTCAACCCTTATCAAATCAAACGTTAGGCTTTTCTTCCAGAAAAGTAAGCTATCCACAATAATAGTAAAATTTTTTGATTATACATACATAAACCTTTTTTCAGGAACAGAGCAGAGTCTTCCGAACCCTTACTCAGGTGAACGTACCATTCTGATTTGATTAAAATACCATACAGTCAAAATGCCTACTATGGTGACCAAATTTACACATAATTACACAGGGCAGGCACTTCACCCTACACACCAATGTGTTACTACCTAACCCTACATAAATGGGAAAATAGGGGAAACAGTATACAAGCGTCCGCACAATAGTTTCTTTTGGAGCTTGTACATGTACATCAATATGAAGCATTATTGTTGATCTTCTTTGCAGTAAAACATCCACACACACAAACACACAATTTGAACGTCTTTTTTTTCCCTTACCATTTAACACAGGTGAACATGTAGAGCATTTTTCTCAGATACCAAAGGCAGGCAAAGCTAGCAGCGAGCAATTTCTTGGAATAACCAACTGTTTTGCTTTAGTTTTTAACAGGCATCTAGCTGTCCCGGTGTTCCTCTCATACTATGGACTGTGCTTGAGTAATGGACAAGTACAATTTGGTTGAAACACTTACGTGACATGCATTTGCTGGCCTGTCTGTGTTCCTATGTCCTATGAGATTCACACAGTTATACTATACATTTGGTAAGGACAGAACTTTCTTCGCAACTACTTTGCACCTCGACCTATTTTCCCACAACAACAGCGCTTACTTCTTAATTGAAACACACACGTCATATGCCGAGCAATATAGCACAGATACCATATCATTTCCAATTATATTCCACTGAATCTATTTACAGCAATTGTGTCCTAAATCCTTTCTTACTTGTGCTTGGAAAATGCTCTGTCTCTCTGGTTTATCGTTTTCTGGACCTGCCGAAGCAAACTGCAACATTTTTGCTACAAATCTGCAGTTTTCATTTGTGATATTTGTTTCGTTTTATACAGCCACTACTAATTCTTACTACGGAGGTGCTCGTATTACACAATGCGACACGTTACCCCACAATGCTTCAAGAAAAACGGTGCGGTTACTATCAGATGCTAAACATTATCTTACATCATGCTTTATCAGTTGGTTATTCCAATGATCTTGATAGCCATCAAGCAGGTGTCTTCCAATCTCCACAAGCAAGCAACTCTGATATCAGGAAGTGTTGTGAGTTGTCCCTAAAGACATTCAACAATGTGTTCTATTCACTTTGCCTGGTACATACAGTGTGGACTGACTTACAGCAATTGTAATCATGACCAAACCTAGGCATATTGTGTTTGGTTGGATTGTAGCTTTACATAACCATCTGTACATCAAGGGTCTCAAATTATAAGCGTGTGTGGCTTGTTTTCAGTGTTCGGCAGCAATTACAATTCACTCATTCACTCGCACGCAGTAACACTACCTCAAGACCACATTCTGAGAAGGTCTACAGAAGGAGAAGTACAAACAAGCGGCCCTACGTGACATGAATTCATTACAAGCAACAGTTTCTGTTACACTTCTCCAGTTCATTTAGGATTTACACTAACTTGCAAGTCAATTTTGCAGTCATTATCTTATCTTACACTTTTGGAAGGGATTTTCCAAGAACCTCTTTATAGAGTTCTACAGTGCATATGTTGTGGGCCATTGTGAAATCTTGTAACTTTGGTTATTCCTATCTTACCTTTGTGCTTTCCCACCTGCTTTTTGTTTTAAAGATCTCGTCATAGCTTGTTTGATTCTTTTTGGTCATAAGCATCCCAAACTACTTTATGTTACTGTTTTTATCCTTAACTAAATAAGGATAAATTAAAGACGTCTAAGGATGGGAACTTATTCTTCAAGTAGTCTCTTCCTTCGTGGGGTGTTGCGGTGACCATGGTTGTTGAGTAGTAATGATGGTGTGGAAAACATTTTTAACTCTTGGCTTCTGAAGATTCACTGGCTGTAAATGGAAAAAAGATATTTGGTTAAAGTCTGTGAATAGTATCATAAAATAATATGTGTGCTATGGAAAAACATACTATTAGACGCTTGCAGGGTCACAATCTAGGAGAGTACAGGGGAAAATTTTTTTGAACCCTTAAAAACATAATTTCCCAAATTTTGAGAGGCAAATCATGGGGTTTAGAGTGGCTGTTGATAGTCCTTTGGATGATTATATATTTCTAACCCAAGATTTTTGTCTGGATGCTTGCCCTCTCTGATAAAAAAAAATAGAATTACTGTCATTTCAAACCAACTAGTTCATGTAATACATACACAGCTAGTTTTAAATCATTCAACAAAGAGAAGCATCTATCGAGGAAAACTGAAGTTGGTTAGTACAGAGCATGCAAAAAGAAACTCTTTCCATGCAACGTTCACTACAACCTATAAAACACTGACATGCAAAAGTCCTACAAGAAAACAAATCTTCTGCATGTAGGAAAGATGTACGGTTAGTGTGCAGAATACAGCTGAGTGTGTAGGATTGTACCTTTCCTTCACTGTTGTACCTTTATCCCAGGCAAGCATGGTGGTGAACAGGACAAAAAAAGCATTGTCATTAGTAACAAACTCCAGCAATTAACACAGTGCACAATTGCTGTTGATATTGTACAATGCAGTGATTTGAAAATCATGCAAAATTTTCAAACTGCTCAAGACTAAAGAAGACTATCATGGGCAAACAAGCTATTAAATGATATCAGTTTTGATGGCTGCAATCGTAGACGTACTTTGCAGTGATGACAAAGTTTTACACTGTATGTTTGACACTACTTTAATCATGCTTAGCCTAACAGTTGGCATTCCTTAGCTAAAGAGAAGTGACTGCAAAATTAGGACCTGTACTCACTTCTGGGAACCACCTGCACAGCGGGCACGCCCGGCCCACCAGTGGGCAGTTTGCGGGCCCGGGAAGACCGCATGGCGTCCTTGAAGTCAGCAGCATCTGACATCCTCACACCTAAAGGGTAAAGGAACAACCAACATCTAAGCTTGCAAAGGGTGAATGTCTTTCCTATTTCACTCTATATGTAGAATGATTCATGCCAAAAGTTTTCTTTCATCTCCAAGGAATTAGAAGCTCTTACAATGTAGATGCTCAAACCAAGCAACAGGCATTGACTGAAATACTTTGCTTTTCTCTGTGAAAGTAAATTATCTTTTTTAAGGAAAGATGAAATAAAACATCCACAGTCTTTTACATGCAGTCAATTCTATTCTGTATATCAAACCATTTTCTATTATCACAGTACTCACAATACTCATAGTATTAGTATGTTTGGGTATCATAACACCACGCATGACACCATGTGAAGACAACAGTTGTGCTTACCAGTTTCTAGTGTGTACAGGGGAAAGAGGAGAGAGAAAGGAAGTAAAGACATTGAGTGTTTTACTAGCCCCTAAAGAAAGTGCACAATTGTATTCAAATCCACAATTTTCATTGCTTAAATGTATCAAATAATCAATGTTTGAAAGAAGACTACTGACATTTGAAGGTAGACCTGTCCTATTTCACACCAGCAAAGTCTTTTCAACAGAGTACTTTCTGTGCTTACCAAAACAGTATTATAGATGCTATCTTACCTCCTCTGTTGGGCAGAGCTACGGGAACGTTGGGCAGTTTGCGAGAAGATTCGGCATCCCCACGAGGCGAGGTGGGAGAGTTGATGATGTTTCTGAAAGTAAAATGTGATTCAACATGACATGTTCATTCTCCTTAGATTTCTAAAAAGAACTCAGTCTCTTTAATTAAGGCCTACAGTACAGACACAATTTTAAATAATTTATTTGCATGCTAAACATCTAAATTGTATGGTTCACAGTGGCAAATCTGCAGATCTTGTTGGATCAGAATGTTGGAATCAGGTGAAAACCTGATCCTTCTTGGAAGAAGACGTGAAAGAACTTACGGGTTCTGCTCACGAGAAGGCGACAATCCGCCGCCGCCGCGGATGCTGGGGCCGTTGGACATCCCTGGGCTGCCGCCGCCCCCACGGATCCCTGCTCCTATGGGCTGCCCTGGTCGGATGGGCTTAGCTAAAAATGAGAAAAGAACAATTAACAATTGCTTTGTACACCAATCTTTGAACAAAACACTCATAACCAGCCAAAGTCAGGCTCTTCAGAAATCGCAAGAGGGATACTTGCTTGGACATATTCATCTACTACGTATCAGGGAAATGTAAGACATAATTTTGCCGGCCAACAGATTGTGAAGATGCGACCCTGGTGATTAGCAAGGTTGAGACAAACATTTTGTAGCCATTTCAGAGCCAATCTTTGAAAAGAACACTTATAAAACTGCTAAGTGAGGAGAAATTCTGTGTTAGCAAACATTTTTCTCTGTATAACTTTACTGTATGGAATGAAGAATGCAACAGAGGAATAAAGGACAGGCTGTACTAGAGCTGTGTACCGGTACGCAGTACCGATACTGTACCGGAAAAATTGATTAGGTACAGGTCCAAAATACCTAATCCCTCAGTACCGGTACTGTACCTAAACAATTTCACACTAATTTTATGCCTATTTGTGACCTCAAATGTTTAAATAGCTGGTTAACAATGGGTCCCTGTGTAAGGACAGTGTGTTCATGAAAACAAAAACATCTTAGTTTTGCCTATATTTTATCTGAGCATTCGCCATAAACAAAGAATAAACCTTAACTATCAAGTTTATTTATGTTTTTTGTTATTGAAGGAGTTCAGAAGAGCATATAAATTGGTCGAATTGTTCAGGTACAGGTTCAGGTCCGGACCTGTACCTAAACCTGTGTACCTGTACCTGTACCTGTACCTAAAATTTGTTTAGGTACACAGCTCTAGGCTGTACTCACCAACTTGGGCCCCACCGTGTCCCCTACGGGCCATGTTCCTCTGGCGCACAGCGTCCTTGATACGGTCCACCTCATGCTGGTATCTGTACCAAAGGAATGAAATCAGGATTGCTGTAACATTTCTCTACCATGTTATATCTTTGAATCAAAACGACTCTCTGAAAAAAATTCCCAAGTTGAGATCTTTAAGATAGATTCAGTGCTCGACATGATGTTACAAAAACGTACATCAAACAATGACGGGAAAAAATTCAGGCTGGCTAGAACACTGATGTGTCCTGAGCTCTCACCTCTTCCTGTCCCTCATGGCGCCCTCCTTGGCGTCCTTTAGTGCAGCCTCCAGGGACTTAACTCGCTCAGCCGTAGCCCGAAGACGTTTCTCCAGCTTTGGAAGCTCACAACGGAGATCTGCATTATCACGGACCAACTACAGAAGGAACAGACAGACAAACAACATTTTTGAAAAGCTTGTTTTTTTTTCTAGTATTGAGCACATCATGGTTTAAAATATGATATGTTAATTGTTATACTGTATGGAGTGGAAATTCAATTTTCAACTCCTGTATCTCTTTTCATCAATTTGAACTTCCAAGAACAGAGAGAAAAACCTTTTAAAAAGTCTGTTTTTTCTTCTTCTAGTATTGAGCACATCATGGCTTCAAATAATAATTATGATGGAACTTCAATTTTGAACTGTTATTGTCAATTTCAAGTGTGAAAAATTTTTTTCTTGTGTTCTATGTGACACATTAATGCAGGAATCAAAAGAAAAAGGACATATTTGACTTTCTGCACTGTTGAGGAAAAAAAGGTGACTGTCACTATAGAAGTATTGCAAACATGAATGATGTTTTGTGATGGATTCCATCCAGCAGGCAAACATTAACACCCTACATGCAGCACTGCATGCTTGTTCAGGCCGTGCACCTTTTACATCAATCATTAAATGCCACTTCTTGTGAACAATCTATCACAGGAAGCATGTTACAAATGGCTGACAGTTCATTGCAACAAGCAATGTCCAAAGCATATCGTTTGTGTTGGGCCTAAGAAAAAAATGTTGTGTTTCCTGTTTCAGTTCTGAAAAAATTAGGGTCAGTATATAGAAAAGGTAAGTTAGCTTAAAAATCTATGTCCACAGAAAAAAGACTAGGGTGGGCAGTTTTTTCTAGGATAGGATGGAAAACACAACATTTTTTTCCAAGGCCTTGACAGCATCTGTAAGCAAGGCACAGATTGGCTACAATGGGAGTGCACACTGGACACAACACAGGTAGGCACATGAGAACTCACATGTACCTTTCTAGTAGCATTGGAAAGCCTGCAGTGAAAGCAGTTAAGAAAGGGCTCGAACAGTACACATTCCGACTGACACGCCTCCTCGAGGGGCCCGAACTTACGGAGGGAGGCAGGGTGGAAAGAAGAAGAATGGAGAATGACAGTCAGGCTTTTTCTAGTTTCAGCAACATATAAAACCAAATATGACTACCAGAGGCATGTTGTTCTCTAAATTATAATAACTTGGAAGTGGAAGCAAGAAATTTCTTTCCGGATTCTTTTTCTTAATTAATTAGCCCATGGAGGGAAACGAGATGAAATTATCACACAATGTGTTCTTTCATCTACAAGATAAAAACAATTTCTACTTGCATGTTATATCAATTTTAAAGCCATATTTCGGATGGTTTATAGAAATTTCTTGGTGATTGCAAAAGTATGCTTGCAATGACAATGTCATGCTTTAAGGTTTTGGTGCAAATAGCAAGAGCTTTTCACTGCAGGACCACCAATGCTAAAGAAAGTTTAAGTACAAAGTTGGCCTTGACAGTACAATGCACCAACTGAAATTAATCTGAATATGACAGACAAGACATAAAAACAGTATGGCAGCTGCATGGCATGTAAGGCCTAGGAAAACTAATGTTGTGTTTCCCGTTTTGTTGATGAAAAAACGTGAGGGTCGGTAGGTAGGGATTTTCTTCTGTTTTTCAGATTTTGGCTGAAATGGTCCAACAAATAAAGTTTAACAATGCATCAGGGCTGTCTTAAGGACCTTCCACCTGTTTGCTTGTGGACAAATATTTCACCAATTTGCTTAATGCATTAAATGACGTTTCAGAAATTAAGATATCAAAAATTTTACACGCCTTACCAGCACTTGATAAAAAAAGGCTAGGGTGGCGGCGGGTTTTTGCTAGGGTCGGTCGAAAAACTGGAAACACAACATTTTTTCCTAGGCCTAATGATATTGGAGAATGGTGTAACAGCATCAAGACAGAAACAAGTTATAGATGAACAGCAGTTTGATGTACAACATGAGTTTGTCAAGATAAGATGAGAAGGCACAGAAAATGGTGCACAGCTGCATGAAGGGTTAGCAGAGAAAGGGTTGTTCAAAAACATAAAAGAAATTCTTGTTCTTAATTTCCTTTAATGATGAAATGAATAATGATAAGAAAACTTTGCTGCAAAATTCTAGTTCAGGACAATAAGTTATCTAAGTACATTCTTGCATATCATAAGTTGAAACATCATGAATGAGTTAGAATTGAAAATCTCCATACCTGCTTATGAACTTTTGTAAGCTGGTCCAGGTTGTTCTCAAGAAAGGATATTTTCTGTTTCTGGGCAGCGCTGGCTCCAGTGTCATCATCTTCGTTGTTTTGGGACTGAAAAGAAAGAATATTTTGTCATCAGACACTTTTCTGCAATCATTTAATCAGATATGCAGAGTCAATAATTTAAGTGTAATCCACAGATACATGTAGATATGAATGTTAGCTTAGGCCATGTTGATTAGATTATAAATCTGTAGACTTGCACACAAGTAGCCTTCATATGCATTATGCACCAAAAAGCATTACAACACCAGTTTACCAACTAGCTACGTCTTAGTTAAATTCTTCCAAGAGCAGGAAGAGCTTACTCTTTTAACACGCTGTTGGAGGTCTTGAACAAACAGCTTGCGCAGGTTGTGGAGGGTCTGCAGTTCCTTAGCCACAGTCTCCTCCAAACCTTTCAGATCAGCCTGGGCCTGCTGGCGCCGGTCTGTCTGCAGGCTGGGGGGACAGGAAAGGTACAAAACAGATCAGTAAAAAATGACCTAAATTATCAACTGTTGAAAAGTTTCACAAATCTCTAAACACAGAATATGGCCTAGGGAAATTAATGCTGTGATTCTGTTTTTTACTCACGTGAGCTCGGCCAGTTTCCTGGACTTCTCAGCCTCTTCCTCCTTCAGCTTCTCATAGTCACTCTGCAGCTTCTCATGCTCCAGAATCATCTTCTGGTTTTGGCTGGAGTAGGGGAGGAGAGAAGTTAGTTCACATTTGTACACACTCCAATATGCTGCAAACAGAAAAAACAACAACCTACAGCATAGTGCTTTTCAAAGGTCACTATCCAAGACCATGTTTTTTTTTTGCAAAACAGGTCATTTGAAACAAAGATGAATGTATTTGGAAGTATAACATCTTGTCAGGATGGGTTTTCCAGTACTTACTCTCTGAGTTGGTCGATGTGTCCCTGTTTTTGTTCGATCTCATCCCTAAGCCGTGCCACCTGTTTCTGGTGTGCTTCACGGTGGCTCTCAATCTGCTTCTCCAGGGTTGACTGAGTGCACAGGGACACCAGTTAGCAACCAACATTTCAAACTTCCAATGGCAAGAAGTACATGGGGCTGAAGTACAAACTGACATTTACAGTCACTATATCTAAGTGTGTGGGCACTGTGGCGAAACAAGTCTAGGAGCTTCTTTTCACAACCTTTCAGATAAAGTATGGTACTCCAAAGAAAGACGAGTAACTTTACTCAAAGAATACTATTATTTACAGAAATCCTTCCATCTTCATCATTAATCTTCTTCCATCTATTGTCAGTGCCCTTGCAGTTATCCGGTATAACAACAGCTTTAACCTCTAACCTTCATCTGAAGGGTGCTCTCGATCTTCTCTGCGTGTTTCTCCTCCTTGTCACGAAGGGCAGCGACACGTAATTCCTCTGTACACACAATACAAATAGTTCAAATTTAATAATGCTGCAATCATAAATGTGTACATTTATTTTCCCAGTTGGAATGGATATCTTTTCTTTTCTTGTGTTGTACTGTCAAGTATCCCTGAAACAGACTACAAATAGACTGGCTTTCTCTTTTGTTTCAACAAACTAGTAGCAGTAGCTTTTGCAGTCAATTGAAACAACCTAAGGTAAGGCCATACGACTGTAATGTTTGCACCACTTACACAACGAAGGACCCCTACTCTTTTGAATAATTATTTTGGGTTCTTTAACAAGCGTGGAGTGTGGTTCTCCGCAGCTAGATACTCACTTACACCTGAGTGAAGTGATGAAAGTTGCGTAAAGTGCCTTTCCCAACGGCAGGAATTGGACCTGGGACCTCTCGGTTCTGAGCTGAACACTCTGCTATTACACCACACAACCCAACGATCATAGCTTTGACAAAATAGTTTTCCTGCTGAAGCTGCTATACTTGAAGACTTGACTGTGTGCCCTACCCTGTGAGTGCAGCTCGGCCAGTTCTTCGTTCAAGGAATCCACGGACTCCTCCAGGGAACGCTTCTTGTGCTCGACGTCCTTCATGGACTCCATCAGACTCCTCATCTTCACCTCATGCTACAAGACAACAACAAGAAATGCTGGAACATCACCACATATCCATCTTATCACAGCTTGATGTTAATTGGAATTAGTTTATTGCCTTGATCGTAAAAAAAACCTTTCCACCCCTTGTCCCTTACCTGTTGAATGAGCATCCTGCATTGACCCAGTTCCTTCTCATTCTCATCCATCTTCTTGTTACAGTCAATGTTGGTGGTCTCCAGGGTCTGACATCTCGTTGCCAGTGCCTTCACCTCAGACTTCATCTTGCTGACAAAGAGCCGAGCCATGGTGAACTCTTCTTCAATCTTCCCATTCACCTCCCCAGATGTGTTCTAATGGAAAAAAGAAATCAAGTCAACAGTCAGCTTCACTGTTCATTCACTCAGTCCTCTCATAGTACATCTATGCAGACATGGCACAAAATACTTGATATTCATTTCAGTTTTTGGAGTTTTCAAAATTAACTTTCTAGTGCTTCAAGGCACATGCATGAATGAACAGAGACCAGTTTACTTTAATCTTACCTCTGTAAATATTCCTGGCTGGATCTTTAATCAATGATATAAAAAAGGTAAAAAGGAGATGGAATTAGCTAAAAGTGAAGACATGACAGCAATGAAAAAAAGTACCCCTCCCACATATTTCTAATTCCACAATCTTGTTTTTAAAAATGTTCTCACAACCTCCAAAACGATTCTAGCAACATTGCCCCATTTTGTTTTGTTTTGCTATGGGAACCCTGTATATAACCTTGTAAACATTTGTTGACATCCTTACATTTGTATCTGCGGGTTTGGTGCCGAGAGTCAGCCCGATCTCACCCAGGTCTTTCAGCAGACTGACCATCATCTCACTGACCCGCTTGCGCTGGTGGGTCTGGACCTCCTTGATGGTCTGTAGTTCCCCTTCAGTACTCCGTAGAGAGGTCTACAACATGGTGAGAAACAAATACCAGGGTTAGATTTTTTATTGTTTATACGGGGTGTACCATTTGTACATGCAGTTTTCCTATAAGTTGAAATTAACAAAACTTTCCAAACAATCAAGAACCATCTAGATTTTCACCCAGAAGAAAAGATTTCACAGAAAGCTCTAATTTTGCCTATGACAATACAAATATTCGATTTGTTGGTACTTGGAATTTTTCAGAAAACAATTTGAAAAACTGACCTAGGCATCTGATAACCCAAAAGCTATAACAGGAGCCATGGCATCTACATACCAGGCTGGTTTATATTTCAAACAATGAATTTTGAACTCTGAATTGTTAGATAAATAAAAAGCTGTAACAGCTAGAAAGACGAGGACTATCGCCAAAATATGAGCCATTTGGAGTGGATTCAGAACCTTGTCCTTTTTTGGAAGATCGATTAAGTGGGCTTAGCTCTTCTTGTACATCTCTCAGTCACCTGTTTTTGGCTGAGTTCGTCGTTCAGCTGTTCGTTCTCCTTCATCTTCTCCTCCACCTCCTGAGACTTCTGGTCGTAGTTGACAGCCAGCTCCTCAAGGGCCTGGAGAACCTCCTTCACTTCCTCCTTAGCTGCATCGTTCTCAGACTGCAGCCGGTTCATCTCCAGCTGTTGGTACAACAGAATCTTTTTTTATCAGCAACAGCAGAATCTTAAGTAATGCAAGAGCCTCTAATACTGTACAAATAAGACTTTCTGCATCCACCCACCAGTATAATGGTCAAGTTGGTAGCGGTCACCTTGCATTCAGTAGGTCATGATTTTGATCCCCGGCCGAGTCATATCAAAGACTTTAAAAATGGTCATACTGCTTTCTCTGCTTAACACTCAGCATCGGGAGAGAGTTTAAACACACACCACCAACAGTTGACTAGCCCCTTGTTACTGACCTGGAGGGTCTCAAAGTCCCGCCGAGTCTGGTTGAGCAGCTCGTTCTGTTCCATCATCTGGCAGTTCAACTTCTCCACCATCACACTCTGCTGGCTAATCTCGTTGTCCTGGAAACAGAAACATTTTAAGTTACCTCAGCTTATTAGTCAGAACTTACAATTCATAATTTTAGCTTTAGATGCTAAGGGTCAACAGCAAGTAATATTTGCCTTAATATTTGCCAGTTAAGTTAAATTAAATTAAAAGTTTTCAGTCATCATATATTTTTCTTTTCTTTTTTTTTTTTAAAGATTAATAATTGGGTATACAAACAATCTTCATATCTTTCTCAACATTTCAACCTGGTCTTCAATTCTGAATTCCAGTATGTTATAACCATATACCCCTGCTTTGGTATTCTATAGGCTTTTATTCCATCAACAATATTTTGCATTTTGAAAAGTTTATCATGTTCACCTTCTCATCCAGCTGCAGGTAGAGCTGAGTTCTCTCCTCCTCAAACTTGCGCATCTCTTCATCGCTCACGGCCACCGCCTGGACGTTGGCGTTGTTGTTGACGGCCTCGATGGTGGGCGGGGCGGGGGTGTTGTCCACCACGGCGGACTTGTCAGCCAGAATGCCCTTCAGTACGTCCACTGGGACAGCATCACCTGGGGTGTCGGGAATGGGGAGACATTTGTGAGGGACGAACATTATCTTTTCTATCAGGATCTCTGGATTTAAAAGAGCCGTTAGGCCATGTTGATTTTAGTATATGGGTGACATCCTATGGGAACCCCAAAGCTGATGCATTAGAATAAAAAAGTTTGGCAGAAAAAAGTTGCTTTCATTATGAAATCTCCGTGGTCATGAAAGGTACGGTGAATAATAAACTCTTCATTTTCATTTCCTTACATTGTCTTCTTTTTGAATTGATTTTGGCATTCTATGACATTAGCATCGTTTTCCAATATTTTTTGCAATTATTTGTTCATAACCATGAGTGACTTCGACAATTTGTTTCTTAAGATTAGGAAAAATAGATTTCTACACTGTAAGGTCTGAAATTAAGTAAAAATGTGAAATGTTGCAATGTAACATAGCAATAATATTAATTGCTGCATTGAAGATGTCTATAGACATCTGGAATCATACTAAATAATTCATCATGCTGTGCTCTGTACATTTATCATAATTTATGTATCTAGACTTAAATGAAATCTGTGTAATATGATACATAACTTCCTGAGTGCTCAAAGAGACACTAGAGAGGATCTACTAGCACACAGTAAGAGGAGTTAGGCAGAATAGTAGTATGGGATAAGTTCTGAAGACTTCCTGGGGACTTACATTGTGCTGCATGCGGAGGCAGGGAGGGTTGCAAAGAGCAAGTAGAAAGATAGAGAGAGAATGGCTAGTTGAGTTAAGACATGGGAATCTAACACCCCAAACACACACACACAGCTACTGAATTGTAGTTTGACACACTGTCTTTCTGGTTGGTGATAAGAATATGATCATCATGTATTGTTATGTTTAATGTAGTGAGTTTGGTCACCAAATAAATTTGATTCTGCAGAAAACTATGCATTTTTTTTTCAAAATATCTTCCTGAAAGAAAAGGATTGGCTAGATTTGACTGTTGGGTGTGAATGTGGTGGTATAATAGGAGAGATGACTTGAGTCTGTTAAAAGGAGGTGGGTTGTTAGAGTATGGTGTTTGTGTAGCATGCAAACAAATAGGACATCTATTACCACAACAGAACTATATTTTAAGCAAATTCCAAATCAATATTCAAACATAGTGGCATGCCAAGAAATAAGAGTTATGTCTGTCACGAAATCATAGCATAGTCTAGACTAAAAGACAAATATTCAAACTATAGTGAATATAACAAAGAAAGTTTGAAAAAGCACAGAAAAGGACAAAGTGTATTCCATGAATAGCATAATTCAGCATCAAACATTTACAAACACATCACAGGGTACATTATGTGGTAAAGGAAGAACTTACTGTCTAGAAGGGCAGGATCAGTAAGATCTAAGGTTTCTTGAGTCAGAAAGAGAAATTTGAGGTGAATATGACATTTTGAGCAGGAAAGAATAGAACAGGAAGAAAGTGGAGAGGAAGAGCAAGGAGGAAGAAAATATATGCCTTTCTGACAATGTGAGATATGTGAAAATTGGTGATAAATTATTGATGTGGATGAGCATTGAATTTGGTGTGATAACTGCAACATTTTCTTTTTTTACAAATTTTACCGGTAAAAGCTTAGCCCAGGGAAAAAATGTTGTGTTTCCAGTTCCGACCCTTGCAAAACCTGCTGACCCTAGCCTTTTTTTTAATCAATCGCTGGTATGGCAATGAAATTCTTGATCTGATTATCTAAATTTCAAACCATCAGAATTCTAAGGTGTCATTTAAGGCATTTTCAGGAGCAATTTTTTCTTCAGTAAATGGAGTGAGATATTTGTCCACAAGCAAACAGGAGGAGGGGTCTTTGAGACAGTCCGGATGCACTGTTAACTTTATTTGTTGGAACATTTTAGCCAAGATCTAAAAAAAGATTAAATACCTCCCTACCAATCCTATTTTTTTCAGGACTGAAACCAGAAACACGACTTTCAAAGGCCTTACAATGTTGTTCTGTTAAAATATTTGTAAACTTCAAATGAAATGAGAAACAATGGATGTGCTGATGTCTGGTGGAGAAATGACCAATGGTTAACACCATAGATATACTCATACTCACCAAGCCCATACTTGGACACCTCAGCCTCGTACCGCTGCAGCAAAGAGCGTAGCTTTGCGTTCTTTTCCTTCTCCTTCTCGTACTTTTTCCTCCACTCCTCGGCGGTCAGTTCCAGGTTGACGGTAACGGTGTTCTTGATTGTCTTGGCCCGCTGGCCGAACATGAGGGTGGACTTGGTCTCGAACTCGTTGTAGGAGGACGGGGAAGCACAGATGATGATGGTGGTACGGGAGTTCCCACCCAGCGCCTCCTGGAGGATTCTGGTCATCTTGCTGTCTCGATAGGGGATGTACGCTTTCTGTGGGAGGGAAACAGGAGTGGATTGTTTATTTGTTACCTACACGTACGAGAAAATGTATTGTTTTTGCTCTGTATGTATGTGTGTGCATGTGTGTCTGTGTGTTTCCGCATACTTGTGATCAGCATAAGTTAAGAAGACCTTTATGGATTGTGATGATATTTGGTATGTGGGTAGGTATAGGAAGGTCAAGGTCAAATTTGGGCTGCCTGATGGCTGACTTTGGTACTGCAGTAGAACTTCCATTTTTGTATCATTTGTCCTGGATATACTATGGTGTTGGTTTTCTGGTGGCTGATAGCTTTTTATGTCGAGAACAAGTAGTGTGGGGTTGGTCCTGCTCAGGCTCATGTACGATGTGTAAAAAAAAAAAGAAACTCATGAAGTACATGTACCTACTGTAATTGAATAACTTATATATATATATATATATATATATATATATATATATATATATATATATATATATATATATATATATATATATATATATATATATATATATATATATACATATACATATACATATACATATATATATATATATATATACATATACATATACATATACATATACATATACATATATATATATGATCAATTCTTAGGGAATCAATAAGGTTAAAGATATGTACCTATAAACAGATCTCACTTTTTCTTTTTTCAAAGCTTTCTACTGACAAACACAGGTAAGCAATGTAGTATTATGGATGACGTTACCTTTCCTTCAGCTAATGCAGAGACAACGTTTCCCAGGGCAGACAAAGATTTGTTGATGTTCTTGGCTTCATCCAGCACAGTGCCCTCAGCACCAGTCTTGCTCACCTACAGAAATGATAAGGTAACATATATATATTATTCAGAAGTTGAGAGACTATCTAACAACCAATCTTCATTTTTTGATTAGTACATGATTTTATCTTACTACATTGTATATATCTATACTAAAGTGACCTATAACTGGTGGTAATTTATGAGTTCCATCCCTGGCAAAATACATACTTCCGTAAATAGTTACATCAAGTTTGTAAGTCACTGAATTAAGAGAGTCTTTTTACACAACCAAGTGTTTAACTCAGTCAGACATTTCGGTGTCTGTCACCTTCCTCAGGGCAATTCTGACTGGTTCACATTGCACTAAACAAGTGTCACTGCTATAGATGCATTACCAAATGTAAAGTACATATCTACACAGTTATAGGGAACAGTATCTACAATGGGGTCCCAAACATACTGTTTATTCCTTCCTCATATAGCTCATCTTTAGTTTAATTATTGTGTGTAACAGTTAGCAACACTGCCATTATTGCATGCACCAACCTTTTCACTGCCAGCCAAGTCGACCAGATAGAGTTTTCCGTGCAGCTTCTTCTCGGTCTCCAGGTTCTCCTGCTTGACGTGGATGAGGAAGATACTGTGGCTGCGGGAGCTGTGCTCGTTCATGTCTGCACGGGGAACACAACGTGGGGTATTATAGCAGGGTTGGACAAGTCCACTTGCCTACTTGCCCAGGGCAAGTAAAAGCACTGTTCTGACAAGTACATACCGCCCTGGCTTCGCCTATTTTTCTACACAGAATTTGCCCCAGTATAGCAGTGCATGGAGCAAAATTACTCAACATTTTCCCATCAAAATATCATATTGTATAGCTGATGGAAATCCACATACACTTAAATTTGTATATGAACCTAGTACATATGGACCAGTGCAGGTTAGGTGCAGGTAGACATCAGAAATACCTGCACATCCACAATTTTACCTGCACCAATCTGCATATGCACCCAGTATTTTGAGCCCACATAAAGGGAATACAGTATGACTTCAAGCCTAGAATTATGTTGAGAATAGTAATCATTGAACTCACTTGTTACAGCCACATGTCTGTTGTTTTTGCCTTCATCTATTGTGTCCATCACCTCCTCTGGACTTGACACAAACCGCTCAGTTGCACCCTGTTGAGAACCAATCCAACAATCTTCAGACAACATTTCTAAGAAAACTTTGAATCAAGTTTAAGTGTCATGTATATGAAAAACAATATCTTCTAGCAAATATTTTTCGTTTCATTATGGTTTATATAACACGTTTAGGTATTTTAATACCCAGTAAAGGTGAACAAACTTACCTTGACGTAGGGAACCCTATTCTTGTCTTCATGTACTGACAGGTTAGTCTTTTGTACTGGAAGGAAGTTGAACATCTTATAAGTCATTGTACAAGGCAAACACTCAAGTTTTTTTAATTCTGAATAAGTTTGGCCAATGTGACAAAACTAACTCTTCTCTAAACATGCAAAGCATGCATTGTAAATTATGCTATCTAGCTCTATGCCTATTCTATACTAGCAGTAAACTAGCGCAATTGTGTGTACACAAAATCTGTGTCGAATTACAACCTTAACCCACTAGTCAACTATATAGAGCTGCATGCACACCATTACACATTAACCTTCTCCCTGCTGACAATAACCTTTAGGCACCAAATCGGTGTTTCTTACAGGGTTAGGCAGCAGGGAGAAGGTTAAAGAAGCACTGCAATCAGAGAAGAAATAGTACAAACATACCATCCAGGAGATCCCTAATTTTGTCCATGTAAATTTCAAAATAAGAAACCTGTAGTGAGGAAGAAAGAAGAGGGAAGGAAGAAGTCAGCCCCCACCAACTAACACCAAGTACAAACACTCACCATCGAGTAGGTCTCTAATTTTGTCCATGTAAACTTCAACATATGACACCTTTTGGGAAAAATGGATCAAAAGTTAAGTCGTATGAAAAGCCATGCAACATTTACCGGTATATCACACCACCAACATACAACCTTCCATGATATTTTTTTTAGTTTTATATTTTTGCAACAGATTTGAATTTCTGTAAGTTTGTTGGGAAGTAAAATAAAAGGAACCCTTTTCATAAACAGGATGACAAAAATACACATAAGGTATCACCAGTGTTCTAGCCACCCTGAATTTTTTTGTCATCAAACTTTGGTTGATGTAACATCATGCGGAGTGCCAAAGCACAGGGGAAAGGCAAACTCCCCTGGGATAATTCCAAAATCTTGGCACTCTGAAATGCTATTGAGGGTCAAATTTTGCAGGTAGACTTCACTTTGTTTACTGACATCACTTTCAATATCTTTGCATGCTGATTTTTGGCCATCAAAGATGACAGATTGGTGTCTGTCAAATGACAGAAAGATGGACGCTGGCTAGAACAATGTGTATCACACCATCTAATCCGACAACAAATGAATAGAAAAGAAAACAGCAATATTCATAATGGATATCATGTGCAACAATACAATAGGAAATAAAACATTTCAACACATTCAGCAGTGCAAACATATGCCATAAAACAGATCAGGATGATAAAGCTGGTCCTCACACAAAACACGCATGCCTGGATGGAAAGAAAGCACAGGAAATAATCTACCTTTAAAAAAAGTAAGGTGTAGCATCAATGTTTTGAAAACAACATACATAAACTAAGGACTGTGCCAGAAGAAATGAAAAAAAATTAAACTGGGTAGGTACAAGTAGAAACTTCTCTTTTTTTCCAGTCAGTACTATCTAATACTATTTACAAATAAATTGAATTGTTTTACTTGCTGTAGTGACAAATATGTTTTCTTTGCTGGCATCGTCCTAATGAGTTAATTGAATATTGTAAATCACTTTATATTCGCAGTATCAAAATTTCGCATTCTGAAAAAAATGGAACTATGTGTTTGTGGTGGTAGCAGGTGCAAAAAAAAGAGAGTCAGCAAAATATTTGTTCACGGTAATGATAAATTCACAGTTAAGTGACCACAAAAACCGCAAATATAAAAGTACTGCGAATATAGAGTGATTTACAGTATGGTTCTGTGTGCTTGTGAACGATCTGCTTCCATGCTTGAGCCAGGACAGGGACACTCCAGCTGTGAGAAAGGCGATGACAGTTACCGACCCGAACCACCACCTACCTTGATATGGAACTCAAGGTTTTCATCCATACTGTAGATATGGTTGAAAATATCGTCAACGATGCGAGGGATGATGCCACGCTGGATTGGATCGTGGAGGACGCCCTGCGGAGGGAAGCGTAGACAGCTCCATGGTTAGAGCCTTACCTACAACACTGCAGTGTCTTCCACAAGTCTTTTTAACAGCATGGTGAGGTACATGTATGGGGGGAAAAGCTCTTTGTAAGCTGGACTAAAAAATTAAGGGGTTGAAACAACCAAGACAGTGTCTTACTTGTGTGAAATCAGATGGAAGAACATGGGCCGGAATATATACAATCTATAGTTGTAAAGTTTGAACTCACACAAAAAAGAAACTCTTTTCAGATGATCTCAACCTTCATCAGATGTATGATCAACTCGCTGAGTTCCTGTCTTATGTTGGAACTAAACTCTACAACTATGGATTCTACCAACAGAGATGAGCTTTCATTCGAATATGAAAAAGTTTGTAGAAAAACACAATATGGGGAGGATGGATAACAAATGAAGGACTGAAGAGGCAGGATGATGTTCACCATGCTGTTTTCTAAAGCTGTGGAAGACACTGCTTCGTTCTTGTTGCTTTGTCTACCACTTGCCTTTATATGGAACTCAAGGTTTTCATCCATACTGTAGATATGGTTGAAGATGTCGTCCACAATACGCGGAATGATGCCCCGCTGTGAAAAGTCATGTAGTACACCCTGGAACGTACACGGGGGTCAGTACAGTCACATACAAGTACAGAGTATAGCTTGGACTTGGATTTCACTGATCCACATGTAATTTTTTTTACTTTCCACAACTTAGGCCCTTTTTCCAGTAGGATAAAATTGTCTGGACATTGGCCTCACGAGGTGGATCCTTTCTGATCTGTACCAACATGAACCGAGTTGGATTGGGAGCGTTCCCACTGGGGTAAAGTTGACGGGATTAAAGCCTGTCGTCAGTTTATTCACCTCCATCCGGACAATCTTATCCTAGTGGGACAAGGGCCAAAGACAACCCTGACTTGGTTAAAGAAATAATTATTGTGTTTTCTTGAATAGCTTTTATTTTTTGTACAAATGTATAAAGAAAAAGGCAATTTACAAAACATTTTTTTCTGTTAGTAACTTTAATATCTTTATCAATTGAGGGTTATGCCAGGAACACTAGTTGAAACAAAAAGAAAATAATATGAAACAACGTTAATATTTGTGAATAGTTTCATCTGGTTGGTAAGTCACGAAATAAAGAGACTCTTTTTACACAACAAAAAGGTTTTTTCAGTCGAAGTTTTGGTGACTGTCTATTGCAGCAACACCTGTGCTGTGCAATATGAACCAGTCAGGAAGGTGACAGACAGTCACCAAAACATTGGCTGAACTAACCTCTTGGAAGTGTAACAAGAGTCTCTTTATTCAATGACGGATTGTTGATATTCACAAGGCTGCTTCTTACAACCCCTTATGATTTCCCGTACAGTTCTCTGGCCATCCAAATTTTACTCTGTACTTCATCAGCTACTGATTTTCTATCCCTTTATTCAGATCAGCCTCACAATTAATGTTCTCCAGAATGCATGGCTACTTCTAAACCTTTTCTCCTTTAATCCTCTTAAGGTACTTAATGGGCATCATAAATGAAGATGAATTTCCTTAATCTAACGCTAAGTAAGCTACCAGGCAATCCTTTTGGAGGCTTCTGTCTTCTTAGTTTTATTCTGCCATCTATTATTGAGTTTCTCCTTAATTTGGCCCTGTCAAGGGCTGTTGCAAAAGTGCTTTTTTTAGCAGTAAGCTTGAACAGGGATAGAGTCCGTAAACTCTATCTCCCTTACCTCCATTGTGTGTGTTTTCCCACTGGACGTCTGCCCATAGGCGAATATTGTTCCATTGTAGCCTTCCAGTACATCTGCATCAAAAACATGAAGATAACATAGCATTAAAAATAATGCAAATACAAGAAATACTAAAAAAAAAACAAAATGTCTTACATGTTCAGAATCTGGTTCTTAATTAATCAGAGGAACTTTTTTGCTGCATCTTACAAATAATAATATGATGATGATGATAAATTATGCTATGGCAAAATGTCAACAGACCTTTGACGATAGCTTTGGCGGCGAGGTTGTAGACTTGTTCTTGTGTTGTTGTTGGCTTGAATACTCTGTCAAAGGTAAATACTTTGCCCTGCAACACAACACAACACATGACAATTTAGTTTTACGAACACTTTCAAAGTTCAAAACATTGCAAGCGCAGACAACTGTGTGTGTGTGTGGGGGGGGGCGGTAAGGTTGACCTTTGCCATTTCAGTTTGCGTAAGATTGAATTTGAGAAAGACTGTGTCTATGACTTAAACACACTAAAATAAAATAACTACAATTAATGTGTTCTATACATTATGTCATTATGGAGGAAACAATGTAAAAATGTAATCAATATCAAAACATTAATAATTTGCTAATAATAATTAGACCGTAACCTTTCTTGTCTTTGCAGCCCTTTGCACAACTTATGTGCATCATCAAATTTGAACTGTGAACTTTGTTACCTAACCAAATAAATTTTCCAATCCTTTCTTCAAACACAAAATCATCAGCTCCTCTTTTAGTTAGTTCTCTTTATTTACAACAGGCTCTGCAATACATATGGTCTTATGATCCCTTCTCTACAACAGGGTAAGCCCCTAAAATTGCTGTGACATTTTGAGAAGGATTATAGACTTTAAAATCATGCCCCCACTGGGAAAGACTGCAGGGGGATGCTTTTCCATTACTTCATACAATGAGCTTGTTGTAAGGCTAGGGTAGTCTATTTAGCAGTAATCATGCGCCCCTGTAAGCTGTAGAAAGGTATCTGTTTTCTGCAATTTCACAGTGGAGATCCCTTTCTGGCTACCACATGTGAGAGCTATTAAGGACAGAATGGGGGCATTGTTTGTACTGATGCTCAGGATTTTCCCCATAGGAAACACTGGTAGCAAGATTCTTAGTTGTTGGACCAGACATTTCTAGTCCATTGATTCTATAATATGTATTGGGTATGGAAAGCCATCTGCCTACAGTACAGTACTATTGATTACAGTTGTGTGAGAAAATGTACTAACAGGTAATGTTGACAATAGACTGCATTCACAATACCATTGTTGCAAAGAACTGTGTTCTCTTACAAGTTCAACAGTAGAAACATACATTGTAATTCCTATATATAGCACTTGATCCAAGGAAAACAGCCTGGGTAGTATTGAATTTTGTCTGTTGTGCAGAATAAACAGATCACAGGTGAACTGCAACAACAACCATTATGTTCTCTTGGTTTTATTTTTTTAAAGTCCACCATGACCTTACAATAATCAATCTGTATGAAAGACTGACAGGGAACAATGACCGTGACATTTTGCCTTAAAACATGCTTTGGTTCTTTCTATGTCCTGGTATTTATTAACTACCTGTTGCAATGTTATGATGCCCTTCTCCGGTTCTCCCACCAAGTTAAGAACCCAACGCACCAACTGCTAGGCTATACATAATACAGTCCAGATCTGTAGTGTTAGACAGGTCAGTTGGTAGGGATTGAACCCCACTGTTACACAATAAACAGACTGTTTCCTATCTAAACTATGCAGTCAGGTTCTTCCTTGTCCTCATATAGCAGGTGCTGTGTGTTGGTGGCCCAGTCCTGACATCATCTAATCTAAATGTGGACTGTAGGGAGAAACATGAGGAGGTGTCCAGGCTGTAAATGTTGACCTGTGGCTGACCTGAGCATGTGGGGCTGATGACAGCTCCAGGTTTGCTAAACTGTTGTGGAATGTGGAAAACACTTCTAGCTTGTTAGCGCCCAGTGGAATCCTAGTCTAAGACAACAGGATAGGATTGTGAAGTATATATATACAAGCACTATACTGATACTGAACTGTTACACTTCACCAAGTTCACAGATTCATTGACCTATCATAATATTTATTGTACAAAATTATTTTGTTTCGTAAATACTGCACTGAGTATTAACAAGGACATTTTTGTATAGAATTCATGTCATCATTAATTAACCTCTCTAAAGAAACATTTGTAAACTTAAATTTCAGTGCAGTACCCTTGAGTAAGTCAAATGACTGATTAGAATGCTTGACATAAGCTACAACATGCATGTGAAATTTGTACATTCTGCCATTCCAAGTCTTCAAATACATACAAGAGCCCTAGATGGGAAGCGAAAGTGACATGAATACTGATAAGGTACACGTGTTGCTTGATGTGCATTGCCAGTTTTCCTGTGATCTTTGGGAGTCAGAATGTACCTGGGTATCCTTTGTAATAATGTTCTTTCATGTGGCAATGCTGCTTTGATTTCAGCAATTTTGTTAGGGAATTACAACAAACACAAATGTACCTACACTTTCAGATATGAATCTTCACAATCTGAATCTTCAAGGTTATATCATCAGTTGATCTGTTTATGGTTTTTACAAATAAGATACTTCCATCTAGATTGAACATGATGGAACAGTAACATGGATCACTGGGCTGGATTCTACCAAGGACACCTTATCTCTAGCCTGAGGTCAATGCAGCACTGCATCGCTGGAGCTTTTGATGGGGCAAATTTGAGTGGAAGCCCAACTACAAATTACCGCGAATTGGTATTTTACACGGCTGCATTTAATATTCTGGACACACAGCCGGTGATGGAGTGGGTCTATTAGGAGTTAAAACAAAATGAGTCATGAGACGTGGTACCAGTGGCACCCAGATTACCATTTATGGTGCTTTCTTATTGAGTAGAAAGCAAGAGCACAGGCAGTATAATGGTATAACGGGAAAGGACACATTGGAAATTACTAAGTCTGCGTGTGAACTTGCACGTATATTTTCAATGGGGGACAATACATCTTCTGTTTTATTCCTATGGGTCAAAATATGTTGATTATAATGTTGTTCAGGGGCAGGACGTTGCGATTTTATCATCAAATATTAATGGCTAATAAAGACACAAAGACTACATAAAAGCAGCCTCTAGATCCAACTGAATCTCTATAAAGATACTTACTTACGATATAAAGATGTTATTTAGAATTAATCTTCTCACAAAAATGTGACTCAGTCAGTAGGCAAATTAACCTTTTCCATGCTGAGGGACTATCCATGCACCAAATTTGTGTGGTACACTGATGTGTCAGCAGGGAGAAGGTTAAGTATAAGCTGTACATACACAAACTGCTACATCCTGTCTGGCCTGGTCATGTGACTGTCTGGTAGTGGACTTTGACATCACCATGAAAGTCCTCTTGCAATACCTGGAGCCAACACTGTTTCTGTACTGTTGAGTCATATTGAAACAGTATTGGTTCTAGGTACAAGGGGAACTATTGTTTTGGCAGAATTTACTTATGTACAGGTAGCTCGCCAAACAAGTACTGTAACTGTGTATGTTGAACTTGATACATTACCGGGCAGTGTTCTAGCCAATGTCACCCACCCGATGACAAGACAAAAATTTTGCCCCAAATCGACGTGTATAGATATGCAAAGAGACTAAACTAAGCTTAGTTTATGAGCAAAATTTTCCTGTCAAAATGCAGGCAATAGACAAAGAGGTTTAAGATTTCAAAATTTTCCTAGGTTTGAGTTTGACTGTCAACCTTTGTTAGCAAATATCAAATGATCAAAACCCTAAATCAATCAACTGGTGACCTATACACCTTTATGCAACAATAGGTCCCCCTGTTGTGATACTAATGTAAAAAGAATGCTTTTTTAAAGACAAATGGAAAAGTTATCACAAATGAAAGCGTTATGAACATGGCATGCCAAAATAAAGAAAAAAGTAACTGTCCTACTTTATTAAACACATAAACCATGTTTCATTTCATATTGCAATAACTGATTTCAGCCATATTTTTAAGGGTGAGAGGTTAAGACCCAAATGTTGATACATTGGCACTTGGCAACAGGTGCAACTGTAGATGCTAAATATACATCTGGTTACATTGTTTTACATTATACCAATTGATCTCTGTTGTTTCAAGACCTTAGGCTGGTAATTTGTTATATAGTGCAGCTTGAAAGATTAGTGTTCCGGTCTTTAACTTCTGTGCATTCTGTAGATAATTTCTGTCCAATGGGAATTTCTTCAACTAACCCTTTCCTGAGAGTTATTTCAAACTATGGGTCTGGGGTGAACGCTGATCAGTTTTTGGTTCCAGAGTCTATAAATTGCTACTGACAACATGAACACAAGTGTGACTGGGATCGTCATGACATTCCTGACGTCTTGTTAAAGAAGTATTTCTGGCATTGAGAAGGCATACTGCAGCTGACAGTTGTGAATGTGTGAGAGACCCTCTGGTGAGATTTGCTGACTGACATGCTAATCAGCCTGCTGGGATTTGCATCATGGTGGGGAGAGGAAATTTTACTGGAGATGATTCAACTAACCACATCTTGGAAATAGCACCTCATCAAAGTGTGTCTCTAGTCAGGCGCATCACACATGCAGAGAAAGCAAGAAAGCAGATAACAACCTAGTGGATTCTGATTTTATCGTAGCCATAGAATGTGTCTGGTGACGCACTGAAGGCTGTCATAGCATGCTGTATCAGATGTGCAGGGCTCGAAACACTGAGTGCATATGCAGGTAAAATTGCAGGTATTTCTGATGTCTACCTGCACCTATCCTGCACTGGTCCATGTACTGGCTTTACATGGACCATGGAACATATATGAATGTGGATTTTCATTGGTTGTATGAACTGTTAACATCTATGAAGAGAAAAAGAAATAATGTCAATGGCTTCAGAACAGTTTTTAATGTGATCCAAGTTCTGAGTGATGCACGTAAATTTGTCTGGTGCAGGTACGCAGTCAAAAGTCTTTCGAGCCCTGGATATTTGATACCTTTAGACGCCATTTTGGAATGCTAGTTTTTATACTAAATTGTTAAAATGAATCCATAATGAAAGCAATCATTTTAGCAAAAATTGGCCCAATTGGCTTTCCACTAGAAACACAATCAGGGAAAACGCTTTTGAGTATGAGGAATACAGAAGCAGACAGTGAATCAGCCAGACTACAATATATCATCCAGCTTCTAGATATGTTAATGAACAGCTTTGATAGATTGCTGCTAATGTGTTTCTGCTTGCATGGGACTTGCGTGATGCCTGCGTGAGCGAGCGACGCACTACT